CTATTCCTTGTAGGCTTTCGGCTTTCTCTCAATCACCTGTCCATGATTTTTACTATATACCCCTGATTAAAACTTGGGCCAGGAGCACAGAAGGGGGTGGGGGTGGCAGGCTCCCTACCTGGCTCCAACTGGCATGTCCCTGCAGCTCCTAGGGGGAGGGGTGGCCAGGGGACTCCATGCACTGCTCCTGCCACAAGTGCCTGTTCCACAGCTCCCATCACAGCCAATGGGAGCTGCAGGGGTGGCGCCTGCAGTCACAGACAGTGCACGGAGCCTCCTGGCTCCTCCGCCTAGGAGCTGCAGGGGCATGCCTGTGGGAGCCAGGGACACCCCAGGTAAGCGCCACCCTGCCCATCAACTCCTTGCCCCAGCCCTGAGCCCCCTCCCACAAACCCAAACTGCTGCTGCTGAGCCAACCACACTAGCCCCTGTAGAAGTCATGGACTCTGTGACTGACATGCAGTCTTATCTACGATTTTTTCCCCCTTGCTTCGGAGAGCTTCTGCAACTCTGACAAAGTAATTCCAAGCCCCGTACACATTCAGATCCCTGAGTTTTTCAGTTCAGTCCAGTCCACTTCCCTGACTCAGTCCCTTAATTTTTTTAAGTTACCTCTTTTGAAATCCAGGACCTTTGTTGCAGACTTGTTTTTGTTTATCCTTCCATTTAGTCTAAACTGAATTAGCTCATGGTCACCCAAACCAAGGTTGTCCCCTACGACCAGTTCTTCGATGAGGTCCTTGCTCCTCACCCATACCAAATCTAAAATGGCATCACATCTTGTTGGTTCAGCAACTATTTGGTGAAGAAATCTGTCAGCCATCACATCCCAGAAAACCTGGGCCCTACTATTATCAGTAGCACTTGTCCTGCAAGCTACAGCTGGGAAGTTAGTCTCCCATAACCACAATTCCCAGGAGTATTTATTTCATTAAAAACAGAGGTTTTGATCCATATATAAATCAGATCCTGGTGGTCAGGAACACCCCAACACTGTATTAGGGGACCCTCCAGTAATTTTCTTCCCTAATGTGATTTTGGCCCAAACAAACTCTCTCCTCTATTCCATCACTTCTAATTTCTTTACAGTCTACCTCAGCATTAAGGCTCTGTGTTTGTCACCGAGGTCACAAAAGTCACGGATTCAGTGATCTCTGTGACTTCTGCAGTGGTCGGTGCACCTGGCCCGGGGGCTACCTGAGTGGCTCAGGCGGCCCCCCGGCCAGGCACACCCACCACTGCTGGGGCAGTCTTGGCCCCCTCCGCCCCCCCAGCAGCAGGAGTTTGGGTGTGGGGGGCTCAGGCCTGGGGTGCGGTGCTTACCTGAGGAGGGGGCTCCCCGAAAGGGTGACAGCAACTCCCTTCCTTCAGCTCCTAGCTGCTCATGCTGCCTGTGCCCGCAGCACCGCCCCCACAGCTCCCATTGGCCGTGGTTCCCAGGCAATGGGAGCTGCAGAACCAGGGCGTGGGGTGGAGCAACACCTGTTGCTGGGCTTGCTGCTTCCCAGGAGCCAGGTAGGGAGCCTGCCCCAGTTCCCCCCCCAAGCACCTGCAGCACCGTGCCCCCCTAGGCCATGCCCCCCCCATAGCAACCCCCCCCCCCATTTTAGTCAGGGGTATATAGTAAAACTCATGGACAGGTCACAGGCCGTGAATTTGTGTTTACTGCCCATGACCTGTCCATGACTTCTACTAAAAATAGCCGTGACTAAAACATAACCTTGCTCATCATTGAGATACAGTACTAAGCCACCACCTAACCTGTGTCTTTCCTGAAGAGCACATACCCCTCGATCCCTGTACTCCAGGCAGGACAATTCCACCAGCTTGCTGTTATCCTTAGAACACCTGGTTTCACTTCCTGCACCAATAGCTCCGGTTCCTCCATTTTATTACCCAGGCTCCTTGCATGGGCGAACAAACATCTTAACTGTTGCTGCTTGGCTCCACCGACATTCCTCGCCCGGTTGGGTACGGTCATGCTACTGCCAGCGTCACCTGACTGGTATCAGCACGGTCCTTCCTCTTACCGTCCATTCTCCTACCCACTGCTGTTCCTTTCTCCAGTGCTGTGTCCGTTCTTACTTGATTTTCCTCCCTCCCAATGTTAAAATCGGGTGTGGAGATCATATGAGCATCGCCCAACTCTCCTGAGTTCCTAGTTTAAAGCTCTTTTAATGAGTTGTCTCAACCTCCATCGCAGAAGTCTATTTCCCCCCCTACTCCGGTGGAGTCCGTCCCATGAGAACTGTCCTCTGACCAGCGGTCAAACAACCCAAGCCCTCCTTATAGCACCACTGCCTGAGCCATCTCTTGAGAATCATAATCTTGTCTCGCTTTTCTCCTCCTCCTCTAAGGACAGGTAGAATCCGACTCAAAGTCACCTGAGCCTCCATTTCTTTAAGCATCGTCCCTAGCCTTGCACAGTCCCCCTTGATACGTTCCAGCGAGAATCTAGCTGCCCTTCATATGGGAACAAATGACACAATCAGTGGATTCTTTCCTGCTCCCATTAGATTCTTCTTCAGCTTCAGGACCACATCCTGTATCTTAGCTCCCAGCAGACAGCTCAGCCTTCTGGTCTCTGGATCAGCTCTGGTGACAGGCCTCTGTATGCTTCTTAGTAGAGAGTCCTCAAATCACATGGACCTGCCTTTTCCTGGTGATGGCATGATTCTCCAGCCTTCCTCCTGTCCTTTCTGGCTGTGACTCCTTGTCTTTTATTCTCCCTTGCCATTTTCTGCGAGTCATTCTGAATCCCCCTGGAGCTCTGAACTCTGGGTATCTCCAATGGCTCTTCCCCTCTTCTTACAGAACTAACCGCTCTGCTCTTCTCTTCCTTGCCCTCCTTCCTTCCATTACTGGCTCCTGTGCCCCTTCCTCATTTTCCAGCTCGGCAGACCTGTTCCTGATCTCTAATTTTCCTTCCCTAGCTGGTCTTTTCCTCTGCCTGGTTCTTGTAGTTGTCGCACGCTTCCACCACTCACTTTCCTCACCCAGCAGTCTCCCCATTGAGTTCTTCAGTCCAGCTGGCACCTACAAGTCTTGACTCATCCCTTCAGCCTTCTTGTGCCTTTGCTCCATCATCTGCTCAAACCTCCTTCGAAACTCAACCATCTTTTCCACCTGATCTCCAAGCCTTGGATCTTCTCTTCCATCAGCTCTATCAGGCAACACTTCATACAAAGCTCTTTGCAGGTACCTGTGCTGGGATCATGTACATCCTGCAGCTTCCACATCCGGTCATCTTCATCGTCTCTTCCATTGCTCGGGTCACTACCTCTGCTGCCGCAGTAGCTGTAACAGCTTTCCCACCTGAAGTCCTGCCAAGGAAAAAGAGAAAACCACCCAAAACACCCCTTCCCCAAACTCCCATTTACAGCTCTGTGTGCTGGCTGCCTTTATAGGGCTCTGCTCTCACCTGCCCCCTCCCCAATGCTACACACTGAACGAGTTAAAAACACAGTGACAAAGTGGGAATGCTCTTAATGTTTTGTCTGAATACCGTGCTTGTGCCTCAGTTTCCCCACTGTATGGAACAAGTACCTTGGTGGTGGAACAAGGGGGTGTGATTGTTGCAGATTCCAGGAGGGCAGGTGTGACTGATGTCTGGCTGCCTGGCACAGACAATGGCCAACATTCTGTAGCCTGGCAACTGATGTCTGGGGCCCCGCCGCTCCAAGAATCAGCCGGAGGTGTTGGAGAAGGAAGTGAGGTGCAGGCCAGGTGACCTGGGGGAGAGAGACAAAGGAAGGAGGCAGGGCAGCAGATCATGGCTGAGGCTGGACTGTTGAGGGAGCTGGTCAGTCTCCTGGTTTGGGACTCAAGAGGGAAGCCCGGGGTCCTGGAACTCCAAGGATGGCTTTCCTGTGTTAACGTGCAGCAAGCTAAAGGGTCCTACTAGCTGTAGGATTTTCAGGAAGCCCCTGGGCACAGCAACTGGGCAGCTCAAGGAGACGTGCTGTGGTGATTATGCCAATGCTATGCCCCTACTCAGCGATCAAGCCCTACCCTCGGCAGGGTTGGGAGAGTGTGTATTGTGTCCCTTACTCTCTGCCTCCAGGCTGCAGGGGCCTGTTTGGAAGCTTTGCCCTGAAATGAACATTTCTGTTGAAGAGCTGTATTTTAAAGTGCTGAACTCCCCCTGAAGGCTCTGATTTTACTTTCGAAGAATGGTTGTAGGAATGTTAGCGTTAAACATCTTCCTTCTGAAACAAAGGAATTAAGATAAGATAAAGAGAGGAAAGCAGGTCATTTGGTCAAGGGGTTCCTAATGCCCAGTTCCTTTCCCATGAGCTGTTCCAAACACTTCCACATTAGAATTTCTTTGCAGAACTAGGGAATACTCAGGGTGGAGGAAGGTCAGAGCAGTGTGGGGAAGTGGTTGGGGAGTTCAGGCCAGAGGGGCCCTGTAAGCCCCACCTTGTCCCTGCCTGTTTGAACAGCTTCCCCCTTCCCTTTGTCCTGGCTGGGACAGGAGACATGCCACCCACTCACAGCCCCATCTCTCATGGACATGAGTGAAATATCACCTCAAACAAGGGAGGAGAAATGGGGCAGCAGGAAACCGCCAGCCCCAGGGAAGGCTGGAAACCCACCAGGTGAGATGGGAAGATATTTGCCCCCAACCCATGAGCAATATGGGAGCTGGGGTGTCCTTCCTTCTCTACCTTTATGAGGGAACCCAAACCTCTAGAAACTAGAGTCACAATTGTGGCTTCTTACTGCCCCCTCACCTGCAAGAATGGGTTTAGCTAAAGCAGCCTCCCTCTTCCTCCGTTCCCCTCCCCTTGCAGAGGAAGAGGCAGGCCACCTATTAAAGCTACCCCAGGGAGTGCTGAGCTAGGCTGTGTTTCTTGAAAGATGCATCCCCAGGCCATCTAACTGAAAGTCATGGCAACATTAGAACAGAGCTCCCACCCATTTAAAGCAAGAGCTAGGCCATGCAGTCTCAGACCCACAATGCTGCTGCCCCTGGGCAAGGAAGACCACACGGGAACTCAGGTAGGGAGCAATTTAATTGTACAGAAATAAAACGTGACTAAGAACTTGCTCCCCTCCTGCTAAATTCTTCACGTACAGAACGAAGAACCTTCACCTGCTGGAGGAAAACACAAAACAAGAGTCTCCCAGTTCTAGCCACTAGCCCAGGCCAGCTTCATTTTCTGGCTGTGGGCTTTGGAGGATTTAGAAAACAAACTCTTCACTATCTGAAGCGGCACCGATTTCCCACTGAGATACAACTTATTGTGACAGTCTGGCAGCCATGGCTCAGAGCCAGAGTCTCTGCCCTCTCCTTTCTTAAGCATCCAGACGTAGGCCATGATATAGCCAGTCATGAAGGCATCAAAGCCGGCTCGGTGAATGCCCCCTTCCGAGCGGCTCTCCTGAGACGCCGCACGCTTCCCGGCAGAGGATGCAGCTTTAGACTCAGAACAGCTCTGTGGGTGGACAGTTGAGCTGTGCTCATCGGTGCCCAACTGCTGCCCTTTCACTTGGTCACTGTCCATGGTGTTTCCTCTGGCAGTGAGACCGACGTCTGTTTCTACTGGGGGGGCAGCGGAGTGAGTGGTGCTCTGCTGGTCTGTGGCACCCTCCAGATCCTCCTCCAGCTTGACATCTGTTGCACTGTCAAAGCCAGGCTCATGGTCCAGGTCAATTGGACTCTCCACCTCCAGGAGGGGGCCCTCCTCACTGGACACGTTCGCTGCTGCCTCTGCCCGAGCAGGTACCCTCCCAGGAGGCAGACTGCCATGACAGCTTTGTTTCCGTGGGGGGCCTTCCTCCCCATTCTGAGCCACCTCCACGCCCTTCCCCATTCCCTGCTCAGACTCTTTCATGGACTCCTCCGCATTCTTCCGTCGTCTCCACCTCTGCTTCCGCTTCTTCCGCTTCTCCTCTTTACACTTCTCATCTTCGTCGATGATGAGGTCGATGTCGTGAGACCGGGAACACTTCACCCCGTTCGGACACCAGCCATAGGCCTAGTGGGGAAGGCACACGTCATAAACCATGACAGGAACCAGCTTCATGTTTACAGCTGCTTTACCCAGCACATGAGGAGCAGTGGGTACTGCTACCAGCCGGACGCTGATGGCTCCCGCTTCGGCAGCGGTTTGGGCTGTGGTCTGAACCATCAGCGATCCTTCCCGATGGGCTACTGAATGGCTGACAACCAGGGAGCGGAATGGAGGCCAGGAAGGGATTCTCTTTAGGAAGTGGTCTGCACAAAGAAAGCTAGGCACGCAAATGTGCATGGTGGGATTATGTCTTCCTGAAATACACCAAAAACTGGCCATGGTTAAGGTTGCGAGTCTGTCACGGAGGTCATGGATTTCGTGACTTCTGCAGCAGCTGGTGCTGACTCAGAGCTGCCCAAGCTGGGCAGCCCCTGGGTGAGCAGCAGCAGTTTGGTGTGTGGGAGGGGGCTCAGGGCTAGGGGGGGCGCTTACCTCGGAGTGGGGGGCTCCCTGGTTCCCACTGGCATGGCCCTGCAGCTCCTAGGCAGCAAGGGGCTGGGGGGGGGGTCTCCGTGCCACATGCCGCCTGTAGGTCCCGCCCGCACAGCTCCCATTGGCTGTGGCTCCCGGCCAACAGGCGCTGTGACAGAAGTAGTGGAGCCCCCTGGCCCCTCCACTGCCTAGGAGTTGCAGGAACATGGAGCCGGGTAGGAAACCCCTGCCAGACCAGCCAACCCTCCCCTCAGCACCAGCAGGCTCCAGCCCTGCCCCTCCCTCCTCCCCCTGAAGCACCCACAGCCCCCCACCTAAGTTTTAGTCACGGTGGGTATTTGTAGTAAAGTCACGGACAGGTCACAGTTCCATGACCTGTCCATGACCTTTACTAAAAATACCCACCGTGACTAAAACGTAGCCTTAGCCATGGTCAGGCTGGAGCTTGTGTGTCAGTGGAGTTACACCAAGGATGAATTTGATTTAAAGTATAGGAGTCTGTAGACTAGCTCAGGCCAGTGGGCAATCTAGGTCAGTAGCCAGCAGACAGTTCCTTCTGCCTGCAGGAAGGCATCCGAAACCCTTCTGGAGGCAGCGGTGGGGTACACTGCCCACAGAAAGTTCTTTTAACCCCCATTAGTTAGAGGCTGGCTTGTTCCCTGAAGCAAAAAAGTGTTTATATCCCTTTCGGAACAGTTAATCAGTGACACTCCTATTAGCCACGTAAGTGTCTAATCCCTTCCTGAATCAACAGAATTTATGGCCTCACCCTCTGGCAGAGAGTTCCAAAGGTTAATTGTGGGTTGTGAGAATGTTTCCTTTTCAGTTTTGAATTTGCTACATTTCAGGATACAATTAACTTAGGCTTGAATAAAGTCAGGGAGTGGATGGGTCATTACACAAAGTAAAACTATTTCCCCTTGTTTATTCCTCCACCCCCCATTGTTCCTCAGACATTCTTGTCAACTGCTGGAAATGGCCCACCTTGATTATCACTACAAAAGGTTTCCCCCACTCCTGCTGGTAATAGCTCACCTTAAGTGATCATTCTCCTTACAGTGTGTATGGTAACACCCATTGTTTCATGTTCTCTATGTATACAAATCTCCCTACTGTATTTTCCACTGAATGCATCCGATGAAGTGAGCTATAGCTCACAAAAGCTTATGCTCAGATAAATTGGTTAGTCTCTAAGGTGCCACAAGTCCTCCTTTTCTTTTTGCGAATACAGACTAACACGACTGCTGCTCTGAAACCTACATTTCAGTGTCATTGTATTATGAGACTGGGTGACCAGAAGGTCCCAGTCTATCTCCCCAACTTGTGGCTGCAGGACCTAGGTGCTAATGCTACTCACCGAGAATGTTTCGCAGACGTGGACCTTATTTGTATCTGCCACATTGTGATCAGTGTCTGCCAGGGAGCAGTAGCGATAGTCTATGTAAGGAGACATGCTTTCGGGGTAGTTACAAAATTCAATAGATAGGTGCTGGCTGCTGGAATCCTTCCGCTTGCAATTCTCTCGTTTGCTGGAACACACAAAGATTCAGTTAGGGTCTTTGCAGAAAGCCCAGGGCAGAGTGGGGGGAGTCCAAAGGGAACTGTTCTCAGAGGCAGCTTTTCACTATTTTTCTTGTCATGAGGCATGTTTAATGGTTCCTTCTCTTCACACCTAGAGAAGGGTTCTTTCCATGTACAGTGATCTCAGGGCACTTGGCTAAAGCTGCTCAGAAGGAGCATGCAGAATTCTGACACAGCACAGGAATAACTTAAGGGATCAATTCTCGGTGTGGATGACTTCCATTAGCATCTGGATGAGTTCTGATCAGAGGGAAGAAGAGACGGCCTCAGAACAGAAAACAGGGAAGTCAAAGAGCTGACCTAGAGACTATCCAGCAGATTCCTGCAGTTCTTGCCTCCTAGTTCCCAAAACAGGTGCTAAAAACAGATTTAAAACCACTGGGTGAAGTTTAGGGGAGAGATTCAGGTGGGCTGCACCACTGCCAGTCATCTGGTTCAGGGCCAGATTCCTACTGCAGCTAACGCAGAGGTCAGAGTGTGTAGCAGCTGCAGAACTAGGGCCTTTAGCTATGGTAGAGATAGACGAGACCAATGCACGTGGCTGCTTCCAACTCAAGTCTGCCAGGAAATACCCCCAGCAGGAGAGAATTCTGGGTGGGATGAAGAAGGGAATGCTTACACCCTGGAACAAGGAGCACGCGCCCCTCAGTGGGAAAGTGAGACACGATAGTCACAATTAAAGGGAAGGCCACAGTAGAGAAAGTGCCTGAGCACTGCGGAGCTGACGCCTGTTTGCCATGGCAGCGGAAGGGCCATCAGCAACCAGTCTGATTTTAACACCAATATTTCAATTCCATTTATAGCTGCACTGACTCCTCTGCTGGATTATTTAACAAGGGGAATCTGCAGAGACAGCATCTTCCTTGCTTAGATGTTAGTCTTCGTGGTACTTGTTCTCCACCTGAGCTCTAAGGAAATCAGAGCTTGTCCTCATGCCACCATCCTCAGGATGGAACAACAGGGGAGAGGCACAGAGCAGAAAAATGTGATCATCTCTATGGGATGCGTGAGCAGGGCAGTGTAGAAAGACCCCGATCTGTTGGTGTCTGGAAGACAGTGAACCTCCCCCAAGCCCTTGAAGTGCATGAAGTGTGACATACCACTTCTTGTAGGCGTACTCAAGATAGGAGGCTACAAAGCGGGTCTCGAACTCAGAGGCGTATTTGGTATCATATATCCCAGCTGGGAACATCTCCGAAAGGTCAGCAGTGAAGGTGCCAAGACTGTCAGGGAGGTGGGCGTAGAAGCACTGGTACAGGAATACCAGATCGATCAGGCCGTTGTGCAGAATGAGGGGTTTCTTTGCTCGGATCAGCTCCAAGAAGAAAGCACGAACGTTCTGGCTCTGGTTCTCGTTGCCCTGGTAAGGCAAGGGTTAAAGTTAGCGAGCCTCAATCTGCTCTCTTCCATATAGCCACCGTGTGCCCTGTGCCAGGAGGCCCTTGTCCCCAGCCTCTGCTACGGAAGCGAGACCCACCCACTGCTCATTCTGGATAAGAGTGGCCCAGTAGCATGGGGACAGTGGCTCCTAGCCAGATGCAGGCTGGACGTGAGGGGAGAACAGACAGTGCAGTCAGGATCCCTGGCCTGGCCCTCCAGCACCCTCTCCTGGCCCTGGGGATTAGCTTGCCCCTAGCAGCACTACTCAACCCACAAGGCATTTCTGCACACCAGTCCAGGAACTCCAGAGGATCGTGGAAAATGAACGTCTTCCCATCCACCAGGCCCTTAACAACGTCCCTCACCACCGTCTGAAGTCATGTAAGCCCTTTTGGACCCACGCATTTAACCTTCAAGAATGCAACTACAACCCTGATGAAGCTTGGAAAGCTGAATGAAGTTCACAAGAAGTCACAAACACACACCACATGAAAGACTCGACACAGTAGATCCCTGTGATATCCCACAAAGCTCACGAGCAACCGTAAACCACATCCGCCCAAGCCATGGCAGATGCGGATACTTGCTGCACAAATGGAAAATTAAAGACCCTCCGGTGTGCGACTGTGGTCGCTCAGAACAGACGATGGAACACAGAACAACTCAATGCCCGATTCACAAATACTCCAGACGCAATTACCTGGCTTAACCATCTAAATCGTAAAATTATAGTCCTTGCTCTACAGTTACATCAGCCACGCGAAGAAGAGTGAGAAGCAGTTTGGAACTCCTTACTGGATCAGCACAATCCACTTCCCGCTCAAACGTCATGCAGCCCCAGCTCTGTAACCCAAAGATCTCCCTTTGTGAAAGCCTGGAGCAGACAGGGCTGGGGATCAGATTTCCTCCTCCAGCTGGGAGGGTTGTACCCGACCAGCCACTAGAGCAGAGCTTCCCCTTTAATTACCGTGAAGTGGAGGATAAACAGAGGGGACCTTGGGGCTGGGAATCTCCCCGAAGCACAGAGGTACCTTGTCATTGCCCTTGTGGTAGGGGATCCCCTGCGAGTACTGTTTGTTGAAGTCAAAGCCATGTTGCACCAGAAACTGAACGGATTGAGGTTCGATGATATAGTCCTCCATACACAGCAGGGTCAGGTTGTAGATTTGGGAGAGGTACGTATTCTCAGACTGAAGAGGCAAATCAACAGGGGAAAGTTAGAGAGGCCAGTAAGACAAGTCATACAGCCGTGGCCTGGGACTCGCAAGCAGGTGTTTCACTAGTGGCTGGGACCGGAAAGAAAGATATGGGAACTCAAAGCAACATCTCCCACCACTCACCTTCTACAGCCCAGCCCAGCCAGGGACTCGGACCTCCTGCAGCGTTGCAAGTGCCTTTGACTTCAGTGAGAGCTGGAGCTGGGCTCCTCACTGTGAGCCCCTGCAGCAGAAACTCTGCCGCCTACAGAAGGGTGCCCTATCGCGACAGACCTACTGGTACATGAATCTCTAGCACAGCCATCCCCTGAGAACCAGCAGCATCATATGAAAGGCCCCTTTAGCCAAGTCACTACCTTGTAACTAAGACACTGGCTCCTGCTACGCTTTCTCCAGCTATGACAACAGACAGGAGTGGGTTGAGCAGGCAACATACCTTGTCTGGGAGCTGTTTGAAACAAGCAATTCCTAAAGACAGGACAGAGCGTGTTCGGGCAGCATTGCAGACCGCTTTGTATCTCTCTTCAATACATCTGCATTGAGAGAGGAGAGGTCAGCTGGGGCAGCAAGAAGCAGTCTCAATTCAATGACCACACACAGTTTACTGTTCTCTTTGAGGCACAAACCGCTACCGATGGCAGCTATGGGGGCTTCAGGTTCTGTGGCAGACTCGTCTCCCCCCCCCACCTTAGTGAAGAGCCCTTATTCGGGGCTCCAGGGTTGCTGTTGCTGCTCCTGTCTCCCTTTCACTTTGTACAGTCTCTGCACCAGGGAGATCAGACTGTTCCCACCCCCATTTTCACAACTACCAGCAGCTCGAGGTCCAGGACAGGTGAGAGCACAGGACCCACCTAACTGGAAGGAGGTGGGTCCCAGTTGGTACCTCTGCATTCTCAGTGTGGTAAGCCTAACCGTTGCCTGAAAAGGCTGGAGATCTCAGGTCCTATATAGATTCAACTACAGAACAATCAGAACTTTCAGTTCTGTGAACGACATAGTAGCACCACCTACACCACCAGAAAGCGTCAGACAGCAACCTCCGCAATCCCAAGTCTGAGGCCTGCTCTCTCCCAGTCCCACCAGCTGGAATGTTGCTTTCAGCTGAGTCCCCCAGTGACAATTTCCAGAAGGAACTGTGCTTGCAATGTGCTTGCCAGCCTCGCTCTCTTCTACCAGCGGGACAGAGCAGCAGGAACAACAGCAAGAGGAGGTTCCATCCTTAACAGCAGGAGTAAAACCCCTTTGGCAGGAAGGCACCCAAAGAGATGCTATTTTAAGACAAGTATGAAAATGAATGTAAATTTGAATACAGCACTCCATCTAGGAGCAGGGTTTGGCATTCAAGAACAGCACGTTACTTACTGGTTTAGCAGACTCTTCCTCGCCCCGAGACCACTTAGCTCCTGCAGAGAGAGGGGAGATTTGGTTAGTAATCTTCATGTTTCCTCCCCTTAAAGTCCAATGCGGAGATTAACATCTCCTCAGAGTGAACTAATTACTCTCTCACAATCGGTTAGGAAGCAGCTAAACCGAAGAGCTAGGTGCCAATTTAAATCCTGGTGCATCCTCCACCTACCAGCAGGTACTGCCTCCTGCAGCACACAAGATCGAAGGTGCTTCACATCAACCATCAAGTCCTTTGGGATGCAGGAACTGAAAGGAGCTAAACAAGGACAGCTCATCTGGGATATCGTACACAAGTCTGGGCAGTGTATTGCAGAATGGATGATGAAGCAGCTGGCAAAAGGGGGATAAAAGGTCTCCTGGGTCCTATGACAAGAGGCTCGTAAACTAAGGTTTATATTCCCTGGTAAGAAGATTCAGATGGGCCCCTACTGAGGGATACCCTGGACATTCAAAGAAGGGGGAAACCTCAAAAACACAAGACTAACAAGTTTACATCAAGGAGAGGATCAAAATGAAGCAGGAGGAAGACTGGGTGGAATTCTGGAGAAGCCTCCCTACTCCAAGGATAATGAAGTGTATGGAACAGATTCCCAGAGACAGCCACAACCATATCAAATAGGCACAACCATAGTGGGGACAAATGGATATGACAGTGCAGAGACAAGAGCTAAAGGGCCAGAGACAGCCCTCATCTTCCATCCCCAAGGGTAGCATTCAGATAAAGAGTTACACATCTTTGATGTAGAAAAGTAGTGCACCTCATCCCACTCACCGTGTCCACAGCTATGAAGCTAGATGTTTTTATGGCCAGGAGCATGGATGGCCACAGCTCCTTGAAGTTATCATTCTGGACATCAATGACAGGTACTTTCAAGCAGGTCATCTTCATGCAGGTCATGCTGCTTCCAGAAATGAAAGACACAGAAACTCAAGTTATTTAAAACTTCAAGGAGTCATTGATTAAGGAGAGTCTCCAACATGCTGGCACCTAGCTGCCAACACGATGGACACATTAGAAATGCCGACCATTATTGGGGGGAGGGATAGCTCAGTGGTTTGAGCACTGGCCTGCTAAACTGCGGGTTGTGAGTTCAATCCTTGAGGGGACCATTTAGGGATCGGGGCAAAAACTGGGGCTTGGTCCTGCTTTGAGCAGGGGGTTGGACTAGATGACCGGCTGAGGTCCCTTCCAACCCTGATAGTCTATTTTGCAGAGACAGTAGAAGAGCCAGCTATGCTCTCCACCAGGAGCTCCCACCAATTTCAACAGACAATTCAGCAAGGCAGAACCAAACCCCAGGAGTCAGTGGCAGAGTGTACCCTCGGGAAAAAGCACAGTGCCCAGAGCTTCTGCAAGGATCGGCCTTTTGTTCACAGATTCTTTTATCAGCAACTGTGCACCGTTCAGAGCGGAGGTGGCGTGGCGAGTACAGCTATGCAGCGCAGATCATTATGTGCCATTCCTAGCCCGCCTCTGCCTAGAGCCACAGCATACTGCGCTCGGCACCTGGGCAGAGAGCTGCAGCTCTGGGCACGACTGTCTCCGCGTGGTGCTGGCCTGGGCAGGGAAAGCATTGAAACCCAGTACCTGGGCCCAGCAAGTCCCACAAGTCACATCTGCCCCCCCCCATGGAATAAACGCCCCCGCCGCAGCCCCTCTCTCCCCTCTCCCGGGGATAAACGCCCCCGCCGCAGCCCCTCTCTCCCCCCTCCCGGGGATAAACGCCCCCGCCGCAGCCCCTCTCTCCCCCCTCCCGGGGATAAACGCCCCGCGCCCCCCCCGCCGCAGCCCCTCTCTCCCCCCTCCCGGGGATAAACGCCCCCGCCGCAGCCCCTCTCTCCCCCCTCCCGGGGATAAACGCCCCGGCGCCCCCCCCGCCGCAGCCCCTCTCTCCCCCCTCCCGGGGATAAACGCCCGCGCCCCCCGCCGCAGCCTCTCTCCCCCTCCCGGGGATAAACGCCGCCCCCCGCCGCAGCCCCTCTCTCCCCCTCCCGGGGATAAACGCCCCCCCCCCCCCCGCCCAGCCCCTCTCTCCCCCCTCCCGGGGATAAAGCCCCCGGCCCCCTGCCGCAGCCCCTCTCCCCCTCCCGGGGATAAACGCCCCCGCCGCAGCCCCTCTCCCCCTCCCGGGGATAAACGCCCCCGCCGCAGCCCCCTCTCCCCCTCCCGGGGATAAACGCCCCCGCCGCAGCCCCTCTCCCCCTCCCGGGGATAAACGCCCCGCCGCAGCCCCTCTCTCCCCCCTCCCGGGGATAAACGCCCCCGCCGCAGCCCCCTCTCTCCCCCTCCCGGGGATAAACGCCCCCGCCCCCCGCCGCAGCCCCTCTCTCCCCCCTCCCGGGGATAAACGCCCCCGCCGCAGCCCCTCTCTCCCCCCTCCCGGGGATAAACGCCCCCGCCGCAGCCCCTCTCTCCCCCCTCCCGGGGATAAACGCCCCCGCGCCCCCCGCCGCAGCCCCTCTCTCCCCCTCCCGGGGATAAACGCCCCCGCCGCAGCCCCTCTCTCCCCTCCCGGGGATAAACGCCCCCCGCCCCCCCGCCGCAGCCCCTCTCTCCCCTCTCCCGGGGATAAACGCCCCCCCCCCCGCCGCAGCCCCTCTCTCCCCCTCCCGGGGATAAACGCCCCCGCGCCCCCCCCAGCCCCTCTCTCCCCCCCCCCCCTCCCGGGGAGAAACGCCCCCGCGCCCCCCCCGCCGCAGCCCCTCTCTCCCCCCTCCCGGGGATAAACGCCCCCGCCCCGGGTCCAGCCGCAGCACAGGGGGCGCCCCAGGCCGCGGTGCACGCCGGGACTCACCGCGGGGCCCGCACGGGCGGAGGGGCCGCAGCGCTCACGGCGCCGCCATCGTCCCGCTTCCGGGACTGGGGGCCGGGCGGAGCTGGGGCCGGGCGGGTCCTTCCCTTCAGGCGGCGCGTCGGGCTGCCCGGGCAAGCGCCTGTCCCCGGCTCACTCCACCCGCCGCTCTGCGCCCTCAAGGCCGCTCCCGAGCGGCGGCTCCGCGCGCGCGGCCACGCGCCGCACGCTCCTAGGCCGACGAGCGTTTTTGTTTATCAGGCGTTTGGAAAGGGCAGCCCCGAGTCCGAGCGGGGTCCTTGTGAGAGACTGGACGGGGGAGGAGCCCGGTCTTCTCGGACACGCTGATTGGCTAGTAACCGCTGATCCCGCCTCGTCGGCTGATAGGCCAGACCTGTCGTGGCCCGTCCACACGAGACGAGAGGTACTGGGCGCGAGGCGGCTCCTGGGGCCGCGCTCTGATTGGCTCCTGCGCGCCCGGGAGCGGGCTCTGATTGGGCCGCGCGAGAGCGAAGCGGGTCCCCGGGGAAGCAGGGCGCGCGGGGTGAGTGCGGTAAGGGAAGGCTCCGCGCGCGCGGCAGCGTCCGGAGGCTCCCGCCAGCGTGCGAGGTGCGCGAGGTGTCCGGTTCAAACCCCTCCCCCCACGCCCCACGGGGTGTCCGGTTCAACCGCCCCCCATGGGGTGCACGAGGTGTCCGGTTCAAACCCCCCCCCCCGCCCCACGGGGTGTCCGGTTCACCCCCTCCCCCCCCACGAGGTGTCCGGTTCAACCGCCCCCCACGGGGTGCACGAGGTGTCCGGTTCAACGCCCCCTCCCCCACGAGGTGTCCGGTTCAACCCCCCCACGGGGTGCACGAGGTGTCCGGTTCAACCCCCCCCCCCCACGAGGTGTCCGGTTCAACGCCCCCCCTCCACGAGGTGTCCGGTTCAACCCCCCTACACAGACATCAGGTACACGGAGTGTCCGGTTCACATGCACACGAGGTGCATGGGGTGTCCAGTTAAACCCCCCCTCCGCCCCCACACAACCGGGGTGTCCAGTTCACTGCTCCTCCCGCACGGGTTGCCCTGTCCCCGCCCCCCCGCCATGATACGCTTGCCTACCTTCCAGGATTGGCCTGGAGTCTCCAAGAATTAAAGAATAACCTTTAATTAAAGAGCATACCATGTGATTCAATCTCCAGGAGTATGTCTAACCAAAATTGGCAACTCTCCCCCCCATGAGGTGCGCGGGGTGCCCGGTTCTCACACACACGCACCACGAGGTTCATAGGGTGTCCGGGTCCCACCACCCTCCCACGAGGTGCACATGGTGCCCGGGTGTCCCGTCCCGTCCCCCCCCCCGCAGCTTGCAGGGTGGCAGTGGGAGGGCGTGTGGTGTCCGTGGTCCTGTGGGGAGGTTGGAGTTCTGGGAGTGGAGAGTTATTGCAGCAGATGCTGAGGATGTGAGGGCCTTTGAGGGGGTCACCATAACAGTACCCCATTCGCTCTTTTTTCCTCAGCCTGGCGATGAGTAAACTCCGGGCAGCAGGTCGCAGCGGGCGGGGACTCCAGCAGGGCGCAGGGGATGTGAGGAAATCCCCAAGGAGGTGCAGAGAGAATGTATCATCCCATAAAGGTGAAACGCTTCAGCTACAAGGATCTTAGGGACACTGCAGTAAGGGTGACACCATGACGATAGGCACAGTGTGAACAGCTAGACACATACCAAACAAGATCAGGAATGAGCCTGGGTGCAAAGGGACGCAGGCAAATAAACACATATTTTATAAATAAAACGTTTTCCGTCATTGGGACTGCACGTTATTCAGTCTGACCATTGAATATATTAATTCACTGCTGATCCTAATATTCTACACTTGTACAGCACCTTCCATTGCCATTCTCAATGGAGTCCAACTCTCTGGACTCAAACCTGCACCTTTCAATGCTAAAATGGCATTGTGAAGCTCCTTGTTTCTTGTCTCTCAGTAACTGCAGCTTAGCTGTGCTCAGTTTACAAGTACATATACATTTCCTCTAACTGCCAGGCCTGCAAAATCACCTTTGTGACGTGAGAATCAATCTGAGCTTTTTCTTCTTCATGCGTTAGCAATGACCAAGATTTCACAAGGTGAGCTTGGTTAACTACTCTGCTGATGTTGTGTGAGAAGGCTAGATTGCAGTTTCCTCATACAGAGGTGGGTGAGTTCTGCAGGGCTAAGAGCAGTAACAGGTAATTGAAAGTTTACTTTAGTCACTGAAATCAGACGACTTGGCCCTGATACACGCAGGGAGTTGACAGTCACGTTTTCAGAGGCATACAACATTTTAACCATAAGTTCGTGCTGCTTCTTTTTTTCAACACTGTTTGTTGTTGCACTTCCAAAAATAGACTGGCTGGTTTCTGGTCAGTTTCTCTGCCTCCTTCTCTGCTGGCCCCATGTTGTTTGTGTGGGCTTCCTCACCCCTGACGTAAACTCTACACTCTGTAGTAGACATGATAGTTGAAATCTCTTTGCCAGAAGCTTATTTTGGTTAACGCATTCAGTGGAGGACAGAGAATACAGGCATCGGAGTGTGTACTAGTTAAGTGTTGGCCTGCTCCAAGTTGTATGAGACATATGGAAAAACAGTTCCTGCCCTGATGAACATACAGTCTATGAGACGACAAGATGCAATGGGAGACTCAGCTAAGGGTGGTAAATTAGAGGAACTTTTTTTTTTCTAATCTGACACATCTCTCCACTTCCGTAATGTTTAGGAGGGGAAAGCATTTGATGAGGGCCAGTATTTGTGAAGTAGGCTGGTAGAAGTGAGGCTTTAGGGGCGAATTTGAGATTGTAGAGGTCTTGCGCACTGGGACCGGGTGAATCTTAGAAACAGCTGGTGAAATCGTTTTGGGGCCACACACCCTTCAGGGTCTAGTGCAGGCTTCTCCAGGCTATTTTCCTTGTTTCTAGTGGTTTGTGTAATCTGATGGAAAGACCTCCTTTGCCTCAGTAATGAAAGGGCAGCCAAGCCCTCCCCCACCAGCTCCTTTAACCACTGGTCCTGTCTTCTGACTGGCATTTAATGTCTCCTTGCAGACGTGCTACCTCCAGTGTCTGCCCAACAGTCTGCGTACCATCTCTTCAGCCACCCGGCAGAAATCAAGGCCTTTCGGAAGAATTTGCTTGCCTGGTACGACAAATGCAAGCGCGACCTTCCCTGGAGGAAATTGGTACGGCAGGAGTGGGTCACCACAATACGTGGTTGGGTTCCCCCAGTTTAAAAGATGCTGCCCTGATGACCAAAGCACTGTCTTCCCCTATGAACCTGTCAGATTGCATTGAAACTGAAGGGGCATCTAAAATCAGATTGTATCTTCCTCCACTAATGTGGTTTGTTTCCTTCAACTTGGTCCTACCTGAAACTAGACAGGTCAGTTTCACTGTGTGTTTCTAGTCAGTGTCAGCTTTTCATCCTTGGTCTCATCTATTGGGTTTGAGCTTCTAGTGCTGCAGGAAGGTTTTTATTTGTCCTTAGCCGCTGACTGTTTGCTTGCCTGTTAGTTTGTATTCCCTTGTTGCTGCAGAATGTTCTGTTGTTCCCACTCTGTGCCAGCCCAGGCTCTCACCTCTGTCCTTGCTAAGCCCACAGCGGTGAATGGTGACAGTGGATTTGCCTGTTCCATGGTGGAATGGCTGGTGTGGTCAGAGGTGAACTTTAGCTGCTATGCTGAGAATTGTATGGGGCCACCATTGTCCCATTTAAAAATCTCCGGTGCTGGTACCTGTGTGCAGGGTGGGGTGGGGATGTCCTCAGGGAAGGTTTCTCTGTTGGGATTCTAAACTTTCAGGATAAACTTTAGCTGGAGAAGTGTCGAAGAAAATGTATGAAATCCCTCATGCCAAGATCAAGAGAGATTGCAGCCAATTTTGTGTTGGCTTTCAATTGGTCAGACCAAATTCAGCATTAACGGAAACTTTTGGGGGCCAATCTTTTCTTTAATTAGTATCTAAACAGCGTATAGAAGACAGGTAGTTGCTCACCTTTTCTTATTTGCATATGCAAATATGTGTTTTGCGTGTGTTTATGCAAATATTTCCTGTGCATCTTAGGCCCCATTGGATGAAAAAATAACCCTAGTCCTGACTCTCTAACATGGTTGGGCATCTGACCTTCCTAAGAAACTCTGCAAGAACAAAGTGCTTTCCAAGGAAGGTTTTGGTTAGAGCTGTTTTCAGGTGGCCAGTAGCAGCTTGAAGCTGCAGATCCCAGGTCTCCTGGGAGTCATATAACTCCTCCCATTTAAGGAGCTCTTATATCTAAATTGAGTTACACTTACAAATTTTGTCCTCTGCCAGTATTTGAACCAGGGCTCAGATATCAAACACTGCCCAAGAGGAGCTGCTCTCTGCAAGCTAACTGGTGTCATTCCAAATGCTGGTGGCATCTCACCAGTGCTAAATTTGACTCTCTCTCTTGAGTGCAAATTACCCTATCCGAACAAGGTGTGCATCTCCTTTCCTTTTCCCCATTGCTCCCTGAGCAGGGTCCAGAGCTGAGAGCTCTGTCCTCTCCCCTGAAATTCTCTCTGCCGTCTCTTTCAGGCTGCAAGCGAATCAGATACTAACAGAAGAGCATATGCAGGTGAGACAGAGAGAACACAGGCTGTCTGCTTGGGCTTCTTTTCTCAGAGAGAAGGTTTGTCACGGCGTGTCATCTGTGTCTAGCACTGCAGTGTTAGCAGGGTGCATTGTGGGGGATTGCAGCTTCACTGTGGAGAAAAATACTCGGAACAAATCACGCTGCTCTCCCAAAACCAGACGCAGCCCAAAACTCCTCTAGACTCTTTCTGAAAGAGGCCAGCAGCGTGGCACTTGCAAGGACCTAGCATCACAGGGATGAAGCTGGACAATGATGGTGCTGCCTCCTTAGGCTCAAACGGCCTGGTCTGAGAGATGCATGGGAGCAGCATGACACAAATGGGGAGAAAACTGGTGGCCAATGGATCTTCTGGGCAGTAACTTTGGATACGTCAGTGGCCCCAATTCTAAGCCTGCTTCAGGTGTAAGGGACTAGTGCAAGCCATGGGAGGCTCCGCCTTCCCCCCCAGAGAGACCTTGTGCAAAGGGACAGGGCAAAGTGTTGAATTGGGAGGGGGCCTTCCAGTCCACCATGATGCTCTTGCTTTTCCTTTGTGCCTGCAGTGTGGGTGTCGGAGATCATGCTCCAGCAGACGCAGGTGGCAACGGTGATTGACTTTTACAACAGGTGGATGCAGGTGATTGTCCTTTGTCTCCTCCTCCCACGCCCAGAGCCCTGAATTTCTGAGGGTGTCTGAAACCTCGGCCATTGCATGTCTTGTCCCCAGCCTGCGGGTCAGCCATGCGTTCGTCGCATTCTGCAGACCCGTCCTGTGCCAGCGAACAAACCTCTGTTTCCTTTGCAATGTAGAAATGGCCGACGCTGCAGGCACTCGCCAAAGCTTCCCTGGAGGTGAGAATCCCCCATGGCAGGGGCCTGAAAACACCCCCATTGATCTTTAATCCCGGGCCCTTTGCGACTAGTCGTAACCCCTGGCTGTGTGTCTTGGGAACAGGACGTGAATGAGCTGTGGGCAGGACTTGGCTACTACTCGCGAGGGAAGCGGCTGCAGGAAGCAGCACAGAAGGTATCCTGGTAGGGGGTAGTTGTGGAGGGATGGGGTATTTCCTACATTCCCTCCTCTCCATGCTAGTGCCCGCTGGCTGGTGAGCGGGAAAGCCCGGTGCCACGGCTCCGTCCCCAGATTTTAGCCAAAAGCTCCAGAGTGGAGTGTGGCTGATTTGCCCCACTCACGTTGGGAGACACCAGGTCCCTGCTGTTTCATGTGGATTCCCGTTTATCCCTCTCCCCTCAGGTGGTTTCCGAGCGGGCAGGTCAGATGCCCGGGACGGCCGAGGAGCTGCAGAAGCTTCTGCCGGGAGTGGGGAGATACACAGCAGGAGCCATTGCCTCCATCTCCTACGGGCAGGTGAGGAGAGACCCGGCGCTGTCCGTGTGCCCGCATTGCCGCAGGTGTGTCAGGCTGTGCTGGCCTTGGGGTCTGTTGGGTTTCACGGGCGCCTCAGCCGACGGGAGGTTTGGGGAATGTGCCTCTCCCTGTGGCTGCTGTTAGCCGCCCATGGCCCCTCTTGCCCCAGGGCAGTTCAAGTTCTAGAACTTGCAAAGTTCCTCCTGCCTCGCTGAAAGCTGGGATCTCCCGGGGGGATCTGGGCACTGAGAGGAGCCTTGTGCTGCTGCTTGGGCACTGGGAGGCCAGACCAGCTCCAGCCATCCGTGGTGCACTCTTGGCCTGGGGATTGCTGGTCCTCCATGGGGGAGGCTGGTCCCTCCAGTTACCCCTCCCTGGGACCGGCCTGGCCGACTGCCCTCCCTTCCTAGGGGCACGAGCACGCACGTTTCCTGAGATGGTGACCGCGGCTCTTCCGTCTCATGGGCCAGGTGACGGGAGTGGTGGATGGGAACGTGATTCGAGTCCTGTGCCGGGTCCGATGCATCGGCGCTGACTCCAGCAGCCCGGCTGTCGCCAACAGACTCTGGTAGGGGATTTTTCTTGTCCCAGGAGGTGAGGGCGGGTTGTAATACAAACAGGAGTAAAGTACACCAGGGTGGCCTGGGGGGATCGGTCATGGGAGACAGCTTTTCACCTCTGCTTACCAGGTCGTTGGGACAGTCAGTTGCCTTGCAGCCCAGACAAGCACTAGCCCAGTGAGCAGGAAGTCGCTCCCTTGCAGGTCCATACAGGGCATAGGCAGGGATTGGATCAGCCCTGGAGATGAAATCCCCACCTCCCCCCGGCTGCAGTACAGGATCGTGCCGATGGGTGTGTGCAGCAGCCTAGTCCCCTAGGCAGCACAGGAGACCAGAACTTGCCGAGTACTGTCCAAGCGCCAGCGAGAACTGTCACAGGAGCGGCTGCGTCGCTAAGCAGGGGCTGGGATTCTCAGCCAGTCTAAGCGGAGGAAGAGCCTGCGTGGGGTGGCTGCACCTGGCTTTCGGGGGTCACTGACCAGTCGCATGCTCTCAGGTGCTCGGTGCGGTGAGAGGCGTCTTGGAGAGTGTGGGCTTGCGGCCGTGTCTGCTCGTTGCACCAGGGGTTCCCTGGCTCTACAAGCCAATGCCAGCTGCCTCTAACTGCCATGAAGGGACTTGGGGTGCGGAGCCCCCGATCTCCATTGTCAGAGAGAGCCATCACTGGGATGAGGCTGCGGGGGGGTCCTGGCCCTGTGACTCCAAGTGGCTCTAGTAAGGTAGGAAGAGGGATCCTGAGCACTAGTCATGCTAGCCCAACATACTAGAACAGGAGCAAGCCCCAGTGGCCAAGAATGGCCTGAGCCCCCTCCGCCCTGGGTCTAGCTGGTATCAAGGTTCTGAGCCTCTCCCCAGCTGCGGCGAGGGCGAGTGAGTGCCTGTTTGGGGAGGGCTGTTCCTCTTCCCAGCTCATGGGACCTGCCCCCTGTGTGTTGTAAGGAACGCTCCTCTGGCTAACCATGCCTGCCCAGCCTGCCACTTCTCGCTGCTCTTTGTCGTAGGGATTTGGCCAATGCTCTGGTAGATCCAGCCCGGCCAGGGGATTTTAACCAAGCCATGATGGAGCTGGGAGCTACTGTGTGTACCCCCAGGGCCCCACTGTGCATGGAGTGTCCTGTGAAACACCACTGCAGGGCGAGTTGCCGGGTAAGTATTGCGCTTTCCTGCATTCAGCTCAATCCCAGTAGGTCAGTGGTCTGTATGTAAACCCCACACTTCATAAAAATGTGTGCTGTTAGGAAGGGTGGGGACCCACCACCTCCCTCTGGACCCCGAGCAAGTCACTTCCCTGCATTGGGATTCCTCCGAGACGGCTTTCCCCTCAGCTTCCCAAGAGCTCACTTTGACTCCAGATTCCGTCACAGATTTCTCACCTGGATTTGTGCTGGAAATGGCCCAACTTGATTATCATACACATTGTAAGGAGAGTGATCAATTTAGATAAGCTATTACCAGCAGGACAGTGGGGTGGGAGGAGGTATTGTTTCATATTCTCTGTGTGTATATAAAGTCTGCTGCAGTTTCCACGGTATACATCTGATGAAGTGAGCTGTAGCTCACGAAAGCTCATGCTCAAATAAATTGGTTAGTCTCTAAGGTGCCACAAGTACTCCTTTTCTTTGTACTAGGATATAGAACAAACATTGCTTGTCTTTGGCAAGTTCTCTATTAGCTAATGCCAAAGCTGACTTTGGCTTTGCAAAGGGTCATGAGATACTCAGCGTGAGTGAACAGAATTGTAGTAAGACCATAATACATTCAGTTAACATAACTTCCCAACACACATATAAAATGAGTATTATATTAATACTGTGTACATAATACCCAGACTATGCCTAACTATATGTATTGGCCAATAGCATCTTCTGGAAGGGCATCCAATCTTGATTTAGAGACATCAAGAGATAGAGACCCCACCGCATCCCTTGGTAGTTTGCTCCAGTGGTAAATCACCCTCACTGTTAAAAACTTGTGCCCTGTTTCTCATTTGAAACTTCTCGCTCCCTTTTACCTGGCCTTCCCCGGTTCCCCTCTCCCCATGGGGTTTACCCCCCTTGGATGTATTGCGTACAAATTCCCAGACCTGTTCACACGTGGGCCAAGCTCTCTTCTGACTCGTGGCCGCAGTGTCTTCGGGTATCCACGTCTTGTGACATCTCATCAGGGGGCAGTTTGTGGCTGGTGCCAAATGCAATATGTGCTGCCAGGTTTGAAATGGCATAAGAACGGCCATAGTGGGTCAGACTAACGGTTCATCTAGCCCTGTATCCTGTCTGCCAGCAGTGGCTGGGGCCTGATGCTTCCGAGGGAATGAACAGAACAGGGAGATTTCGAGTGATCCATCCCCTGTCATCCAGTCCCAGCCTCTGGCAGTCAGAGGTTTAGGGACACCCAGAGTGTGGAGCTGCATCGCTGGCCCTCTTGGCTAATAGCCATTGCTGGACCTGTCCTCCATGAACTCGTTATCTAATGGTGATAGGGTTCCGGGGCGGGGGAGTTCCAGCTGAGACCTGTAGCTGACCCTGTCCTCTTTTGCAGGTGGAGAAGGAGCTGGAATTTGCCTCCAGGAGACTGCTGGGACAAGCTGCCTCCAGTTTCCCCCAGGCGCCTGACCTAGAGGAGTGTGGTAGGTGCTGGCCGGGGATCCCCACCTCTCACTGTGCTCTCGAGGCTCAGCCTCATATGGAGAGCACCTCTTGACCCCTTAGCCCCAGGTGAGCTCTGAGCCGGCGGGGAAGCCTCGCCCTGAGGCACAGAGCTCTGGGGGCAGCGCGGCGATAGGCTGTTAGAGCGGCAGGGGCCAGGCGGTGCTGCCGTGAACAGTAGGACTCCTGATGGACTCCCCTGCTGGCCCGTGCAGCTGGGGAGCCCCAGCTCTGCTGGGTTACACTATGGGGATTAGTGTCGCATGGAGGCTGGTTTGGGATGTGGGGGTGGGAACATGCAGTGACTTACACGCAGGAAGGAGACGTTAAGGGAGAGCTTCTGTTGCCCAACTTCTAGGGGGTCCCCCCCAACACCTCCTTGGGGCACCTCATCTGGCTGATCCTGGGCTGAGATGGTGCCTTCTCCTTGGGAGCCCCATGACCAGCTGCTGGAGGAGCTGCTCTCGGTGCTGGGGTAAATGCATCAGCAGCAGGCCCTCTCATGCCGTGAGCAGGGCAGGGGTGCAGCCCTTGAGCGCCAGGTCTGATGGGGGCCGGTGCAGTGACAGGGACTGACCCGCTGCCGTGTCTGATTCACAGCCGCTGCCGCCACAGGCATCTGCTCCTTGTGCCCCCCTGCCTCGGAGCCCTGGGACAGCAGCCTTGGCGTGGCCAACTTCCCCAGGAGAGCTGCCAAGAAGCAGCCCCGGGCGGAGCGGACGGCCACGTGTGTGCTGGAGAGGAGAGGCCACCGCAGGGAGCCGGAGTACCTGATCGTGCAGAGACCCAGCTCCGGTAACTCGGGTGTGCGCCAGGGTGGAGATGGAAAGGGAGACTGGGGTGGGGGGAGTTGGTGTCTGTGGGAACGGAAGACTCGCTGCCCCGTGGGAGTGGGAATGCTGGGGGGCAGGGCTTACTCATCCCAGGGGGCCAGTGCGAGAAAAAGCACCTCACTGCTGACTGACCTCGACAGGCATCAAACTCCCACAGCCAGCCCTCCTTGGCTAGGGGGAGGCAGGAGGGAGTGTGGGAAGGATCCCTGTGGGGGGACCCCTGCTTGGAGCTCTGGCCGGATTAGAGAGGTGAGCATCTGAAAAAAACAACCCAGAAACGTCCAGGAAAAAAATGGTTCTTTCCTAAGGCCCGATACGGGAAAATTGGAAAGAAACTGGTGAGATGAAGTGTGTGCTCTGAGTCAACAGGGACAGGATTACGAGGGGGATGCTGTTACTGACGTGATCAGGACAGATCTATTTCCATACTTCTTCTGTGCCCAGAAGACAGAACCTTCCTTTCGGTTTACAACAAGACTGGTGCGTTCTGTGCTCTGTATTTTATACAGTAAAAGCTGTTTTATCCAGCACTTCACCAGCCGGAAAGCTCTATAAACCAGCATTTCTGATCTTCCTTAAAATCCTGGTTTTTAGTCCGGTTGGTGCAGGGCCAGCAGGGGGTTGGAGCACAGGCTCTGGGAGGGAGTTTGGGTGCGGGGCGGGGGGTGCAGGGTGCTAGATCCAGGGGCCGCTCACCTTGGGCGGCTCTCCACAAGCGGTGACCTGTCCGGCCGCTCCTACGCGGAGGCACAGCAGGTAGCTCTGCACGTTACCCCTGCCCCTGTCCCGAGCTCTGCAGCTCCCATTGGCTGGGAACCGTGGCCAATGGGAGCTGCGGGGGTGGAGGCAGCGCGCGGAGCCAACCGAGGTGAGCAGCCCCTGAATCCGGCCCCACCTACCCCCTCCCGCTGCCCCACATCCCTGCCCCAACCCCCTCCCTCTTAGTTAACCTGCATTTTTCACTTATCGGCACCCCCCTTCCCCCAACATGCTGGATAAAACCGCTTTTACTGTATATTTTTTTCCTATTTGGCAACAGGCAAAAAACAATACCTGTAAGTACCTTCGTGTGCAGCTACAGTCCCTCCCCAATGCTAGGTATATTTGTCATTGTTATTTGAATCAAAGCTAAAGAATTTATACTTCTTTATTTCATAAACATACCAAACAGGACTTTCTCATGTGCTAACTAAATTGTACTTAATACATTTTGCGTTCTTAAAAAAGTAAGTAAAGTTTAGTTTTGATTAACAAATAACTACTTCAGATCTTTTTCCCCTCAAAGTTCCACTTTTTTCCCACCCCTCTCCCCAATGGGTTTTTTCCCCATGGCTTCAAAATTTCCATAAATTGTCCATCCCCAGTCTGGATACAGCAGCGTAGGCGGAGGAGCTGTGCCGTGCCTGACAGTGCAGCCGTTATGTCAGTAACGATCCTGGCTGCTGAGCAGGAGGGGTGATCAGTGGTCACGGTGCCCCAGATCCAGCCACTGGCAGCACGATAGCTCCCCAGTGCCTTGGGCTATCTTCGGGGGCTCCTTGCACCCAGCTTCCTGGGCCTGAACCTGCTGCCTCTTCCCCTCTCGCTTCTTGTCTGTTTGGCAGAGACTTTACAACAGCAGTTTAGCCCCCAGGATCGACGGCTTGAGCCCTGTGCCTGGTCTGAGCAATACCCTCAGGCACCTCGTGTTGCAATTGGCAACTGGGGTGGAGGTAATCAGAGGGACGTGATCTTGAAGGGACAATATCCCGCGGCCAGCCAGGGCAGGAAACGCTTGGACGGGCCAGTCGAGACGCTCTGCCCCAAAAGGCTTTTCCAAGTCCTGACCCTGGCCTGTGAGCAGAGGAACGTTGGGCCCTGGGTGTGGTGGGAACACAGCGCCCTTTGGAGATGGAAATCTGGCTGTGCCGAATGTGGCCTGGCTGCCCATTCCTTGCTCTCTCCCAGGCTTGCTGGCGGGGCTGTGGGAGTTTCCCAGCCTGCCCTGGGGGCCGGAGCAGAAGGAGAAGCAGCAGACGGAGGCGCTGTTGGGTCACGTTCAGGCCTGGGCCGGAGAAGCCGTGGCCAGAGGATGCCTGCGGTATGTTGGAGAGGTAAACAGGGCCACACGTCCGTCCTGGGGTGGGTAAAGGGTTCGTGGCGAATGGGGCAGCTGACGGGAGTGCAGACCGGGCCTGCCATAGGTCCAGGGCATCGGGGGACAGATGGGGAGGAGCTGCGGTGCTGGGCTCTGAAGCAAGTCCTCCGCCTGCAGCCAGGAAGATTATGCCCAAGATGCGTCGGCTGAGGGCCAGGAGGCCAGGAAGCGGTGCTAGGGAGTGGCAGAGCAGAGGGTCCCTGGTGCCCTCGCCTGGTTGGTTGTTCTGCTCTGCTCCCCCATTATAACCCCCTTACAGCCCCTCCCCAGCTACTGTCACCCTGTTGCTGAGTGTGGACGGCGCTCGGCTTGCTTGTGGTGCAGCCAGAGGGGTGCGCCGTCGAGCAGCAAGCGTTTCCCCCACCTGGGACTGCAGATCTTTTCCTCTGCATTCCAGGTCGGCCATGTCTTCTCCCACATTCACCAGACGTACGTGGTCTATTCGCTGCTCCTGGGCGGGGACCCCGAGATGGCCTCAGGCGGGCGGGACAAGGAGCTGGAGCGGCCAGCGTTCCGGTGGGTGACGCAGGCCGAGTTCCAGAAATCGGCTGTTTCCACTGCTATGAAGAAGGTACTCGACCCCACCCCCTGGGATCCCTGGGAGTGCGGGGAGGGGCTGAGCCCTGTGCATCCCCCACAGGACTCCTGGGAGTAGCAGGGAGAGAGCTAAGCTTTTGCATCCCCCCGCCTGGGATTGCTGGGAGGGAGAGGGGCTCAGCCCTGCACAGGCCCTGCCCCCACTAGGGTCACACGAAAAGGGGCTGGGGGCCAGCCTGGCATGTCCCCCTCGAGCTGTGGGAAGGGGCTTGTGGCGTGTCTCCACCCTCCAGTGCTGTCTCTCCAGGGGTTAGCCCAGCTCTGTCTTGTGCTTCCCCTAGGTCTGGAAGGTGTTCGAGCAGCAGAGCTGTGAGGGGAGGGGGCCTGGCAAGGTGAGTGCGTCCGCATCTGCGAGGAGGCAGCTGAAACCGCCTGGGCCGGCCCTGGAGCCCGCAGCCCCCCCATCGTGCAGGGCAGGCTTCCCCATGATGCTGTGCTTCCCCATGATGTCAGTCTCCAGCTCCCCCCGGGCATTGTCCTCCTCTGGGGCTGTCAGCTGGGGGGCCCCCCCCATCCTTACCAGGCTCCCCAGGCCAACAGCAGTAACCCCACTTGTGTCCATCCCTGTAGGGCTGCAAGCGGAAACGGGGCGCTGATCCCTTGCACGCCGGCCAGCTGAAGGTGGAAGCAGACTGCAGCCGCCCCCTAAGGCAGCTCTCCCTTGAGGCCTTTCTCAAGGCCCCCACTGGGGAATGACTGCAGCCTCCTGCTCCGGCTGGACCCGCTCGGACTGCACCCAACGGTGAGGCCCGTCTGGAGGGGAGGGAGGCTCCATACTCTGCATTGCTTGGGCTGTTCTGTCCCCCCCAACCAGCTGGCAGCTCCACCAGGCCTGCAGTGACTGGCACCCGGCTGTCGGGGGCAACACCGAGTCATGTAGACTCAGCCCACATAGGAGGCCCCCCACAGTCCGTTGTTCCCTGCACGTCTTTCATCCAGCCAGCCCCCTGCAGAGGGACCCCCTCTAGTGCAGGCTCACTTGTGTTACCACCATCCCCACAGACCACTTCCCTTCCCCCTGGAGGCTCCCGCCCTGCAGAGCCCTTAGCAGTGAGAGAGGGATGCCACACGACAGTGGGGACGTGGGGTGGAGTGAGGAACCTGCACCTGCCTGGAGCGGTCTGCCTGCATTACATGGGGAATTACAGGGGACGTCCTGCTGGCGTGATAGCCTGGGGCCTGGACTTCTCTGCTCATCCCCAGGGCAGATACAGCATGGGGGTCTGACTGTTTCTGAACCCTGCAGATGCATGTCCACTGAGAACTGGGCCGGGCTCTTGGCTCGCTTCCAGGGCCACCGAGCGGCTGTCAGGTGGGGCTGGTCTGGCTCAAGCCAGCATCAGGTGAATGTCTCTCCGCCCGAAGGCGCGATACGTTATTCCCTGTGGGGACAAGATCTGGGGCCCCCGCTGCAGCCAGGGACAGTTCTGTCCAGTCAGGGCATCCCAGCGTTCTGGCAGGTGCTGTTCGTGGCCGGGGTTGCCCCTTCACGGGTGAGGGAAGCCGATACTCCCACCGTCTCCTGAGTAATGGGGGAATCCACGGCTCTAGATGCAGGACAAAGTGGAACTACTGTATTTCCAACAGCTGCCCGTCTCCTCCCACCAGCCCCGTCCCGCTGCTCCTGGGACATGGAGGGTCATGAGACCCAGCAGAGCCAGAGGGCGATGTCGGATGCCGTGGGGCAGTTTGCTGCTGGCCCTGCCTCGTACGTTGGCTCCTTTTCCACCTGCTTTTACTCACTCTCACAGCTGAGGTTTTAATAAATCTGAACTTTTTCTACAAGCTTTTAAAAGCAGATTTTGGCTCCATTTCTTTGTAGCCACCTCCGGAAACACGCTCCGGCAGCGCCGCAAAAGGGGATGCGAAGGGCCTGGCCCCAGCTACCAGGCAGAGGTTGCTGGGTGACCACTGGAGCCATGGTGATGGACAGGAGGGGGTGGGAGATAAGTGCAGGAAATGGGGCACCGGTGGTATGAGCAGCAGGGAAGGAGCTTCGTGTGCCCTGAGTGCCACCTTTTTTTATAGAGCACGATCACCCAGTGGCTCCATCCCACCTGTGGGCAGCCTGGCAGTGCCCCTCGAGCAGCCTGCCTAGGGTAGAGCGGATCTGCAAAAACCGATCGGCGGTGGCACCCGCTGGCAAAGGGCAGGAATTTTCTGCTGAATGCATTTAGCTCAAACCGGGCAACATTTTGGGGCCAAATCGTTTCCTCGCCAAAAAATGCCATGTGGGTTGACCTGATCTGCTTTGGAAGTGGGTCAAGCTGAATCAGAGTATCCAGACAGAGAGCTAGGCCAGAGTCCTTAGTCCAGTCAATTTCCCATCTAGACAAGCCCTTAGGGTCCCTCAGTGAAAAACCCCAGTCCCCATCCTTGGGGGCTGTTAACGTGAGCACCTCTGCTGGTCAGCTGTGGTGGTGTAGCAGAGGTGGACTGGGTGGGAGCTGGGCCTGACATCAAAGAGATCTGCATAGGGCCCCAGCAGCACCCCTCAGGACACCCAGACACTAGCTCGGTGCTCAGATGCAGTTTGAACTCCATGGCAATCCCCGCTAAGCAGGCAGGCCGCCCTCTCCCGCGCTAGCCAGGGTGTCCTTCAGCCACAGCCCCTCGGAGGCGCATTGCAGGGCTCTGCGCTGGGGTTGAGCTACTTGGTAGCACAGACCTGACTCTGCAGAAGCGATCATGTGAGTAAATGACACGCCAGGGTGCGGCCCACCTCCTACCGCCAGCAACAGGTCACGGAACCGGGAAAATCAGTTTTCAGTTTAATGACTAAATTCAAGTGAACAATAAGGCACTCACCCGTAAGCGAGTATCCACTCGCAGCGAGAGCGGCAGGAGTGTGAGGGAAACCCTGGCTGGGGGAGAGTCTTGTAAATCAGGCTGAAAACCATGAACCGAACAAGACCGAGGGAACAGCTCATTCATGAGGGGCGGGTGCCTGGCTGCAGGGAGAGCCAATGTACTGGCCCCGGTGGGGACACCACACGCACGCTCCAGCCAGGGGATTGGCACGTGGCGTGTGGGGAAAGGGAGAGGATTCCCCGGCAGCTGCCTTTGGAGAGCTAAATCCCTGCAGAGCCACTTGGGAAGCCTCAGTGCAAAGTGAGTGAGCAGGGAGGGGGAACTGTCCTGCCCTGGAGGGGAAGAGGGTGGAGCAGACAGGACGTGGGATCTCCAGTGGCCAGCTCCTCAGAGAGACGCCCCTCAGCCCCATGGCCCATCCAAAGGCTTACAAACATGACTAGTGCTGAGATGCAGAGCCAGTTCTCAGGCCAGCTGGGATATCTGCTCCCAGGGATGCGCCCTCCCTGCCATTCACCCCGTCATTCCCATTTGACTCTGCCTCCCACCCACCCCAGCCCTGTTGCTGCCACCTTCCACCCCAGGGGTGGCGCAGCGGTTGCTGGGCTCACGGTCCCTAAATCCACCCATAAAGCTTGTGGGGTCCAAAGCTGCAGGATGAACGTTGGCAGTAAATCCAGCTGCTGGCCAGGGAGCAGGAAATCAGAATGAGCCAATCCAGCCGTGCCGTGGGAGGGTTGGCAGAGTGGGGCTGGGGGAGGGGCCAGGGTTTGTCTCTGGGGTGGGAACAGTTGAACTGCCCCATGAATCCCACCCATCAAGGCACACAGCGTGTCCCAGGGAGCTTTTAAGTAGCTTCCACCCTCCCGCTCTCTGACCGAACAGCTGGTCTGGGTCTGTCCCCTCCCTCCCTCCCACCAGGGCAGGGCCATCACGTGGGGATGGAGCACTGGGTCCACCACTAGCCTGTCAGTGCAGCTCCCTGGGCAGCCAGCTCCCGTCACTCAGGGGAGCGTTGGCCTCCCATCGTTCCCCAGCAGGAGCGGATGGCCCTGCTGTGCGACCCAGCCCACCAGGGGAGAAGGCGAGGCAGGCGAGGGGGGGTTCCCTACTCCTTGTCCAGATAGGCCTGCACGGATTTCCACAGGGCCCGGATGTTGCCCTCCCCAAATCCTGCGGCTCCCCGACGCTCAATCAGCTCCAGGAAGAAGGTCTCCTCGGGGAAGATGGGCTTGGTGAAGATTTGCATCAGATACCTCCTCTGGCGCGGGCTGGAGCCCCTGCCACCTCCCTCCCCGTCCCCAGCCAGCTCACCGTCCAGCAGGATGCCATGCTGGGACAGGAGCCGGGGGTCCTGCCCAGCCTCCCAGATCTCCTCTGCTTTGCCCACCTCGCTGTAGTAGGCCCGGGGGGGCTTGACGAACTGCACACCGGCCTCCGCCAGGGCCCGGGCCGTGGAGACGATGTCCGCGGTGTAGAGCCCAACGTGCTGGATTCCAGCTCCCCCGTGCTGCTCCAGGAAGGTGTCCACCTGGTTCTTCCCTGGCTCCGGCAGGGACTCGGCCAGGACGAACTTGCAGTCGTCAGCCAGCCCGGGCTCGCTGCCCTTCCCGTACCGCATGGCGGTGAGCCGCAGCCCCACGCCACGCCCGCGGATCCGGTAGCCCTCGGCCGCGTCCTCCTGCCTGTTGATGACGAAGCGCTGGAAGCCGAAGCAGTGCTGGTACCAGTCCAGCACGGCCCGGGTACTGCCCCGCGAGCAGGCGTAGGTGATGTGATCGAAGTGCGTGGCCTCAGCCGGGTCCCGCGGCCCCTTGGGGACGTCCCCAGCGGTGCGGAAGCCAGGCAGGAACGCCCCCCGGTAGCGGGAGCGATCCAGCAGGGTGTGGCTGATGTTCCCCACGACGGATCTCACCACGCAGTAGGTGACGGAGCCGTCGTCGTCCATCACGTCGGTGGGCGGGATCGCCAGGGGGCAGCCCCGCTCCTGGAGGCGTCGGGAGACGCTGGGTACGTCCTGCACCTCGAAGCACACGTTGGAGGCCGTGCTCACGGGGCGCGAGGGGCTGACGTCGTAGAGGAATTCCCCGTCGCCGTGGCCCAGCGGGGGCTGCTGAGCCGGAGCGGGCCGGGTGGGGTCGGACGGGAACGTGTGGGCCGGGGGGGCCTCCCCCAGCCTCTCATTGACGAGGAAGACAGCAGCTCCTTTGCGGAGAGCCAGCTGCCGGGCACACGCCGTCACCCGCGATGCGAACAGGTGAAAGCGGAACTTGTCCACCAGGTCGCTGACCAGGCCCGTCCCGGTGGGGACGTGGAAGGCGATGTGGGACAGCCGGCTCAGAGGGGCAGCCATGGCGCAGTGGGGTCAGACCCGCTGAACTCTGCGAGAGAGAGAGAGAGACTAGAGCATATAGCCCAGCACCCAGGAGGGAGCGAATCAGTCCCCATTGTGCTGTATGGGCCTGGGGCTCTCTGCCGCCCCCTGCTGGGGACAGAATCAACCCCCACTGCACTGAATGGCCCAGTGCTCTCTGCTGCCCCTGCTGGGGACAGAATCAGCCCCCAATGTTTTTCAGGCCCCCCCGCAATGCCAATTAATATAGGGGACGCTGACATCTTGCCTGCTGCACAGAAGCAGCCAGTATTAATGTCAAAGGAAGGAAACCCCCCCCCTCGCCCCACTTCAGCTGATGCAAGCACTCCTGATGAGGACGCGCACTCCTGCCGTGTGGACATGGGGGCTGTCACCACTGCACTCCAGGACCGTGTCCAACTTCCCAGCAGCAGCTTGAAACCCACCAGCACAGCCGCTTTCAACCCTTTCCTTTGCGGACCCTGACAACATTTCGACTGGAGGCGCAGACCCTTTGGGAAATCTTGGACACCATCTGCGGACCCCCATGCAGAACCACCGACAGAAACACACCGCACTAAATGTTACCAGTGCGGTTCTGATTCTGCCCAGCAGAGAGCAGCGCTATTCATACACATGGGACCGTAATCTGAAATTTAAAACTAATAATAAACAGCAGGGACTGTCTCTTACTCTGCATTCATTCTACGGCGTCCAGCCCAGTTATTACTTTGCATTATGGTAGGGCCTAGCAGCCTCAGCCACGGACCACAACAGGGCCCAGATTTCAGATGTAGTCTCTAGAAGCAACCACACTACAAATCATGATAAAATCCCAACTTTCCCCCCTCCGCTTCCCTCCCAGGGCGTCTTGTCTTTCCAGAGTCTCCTGCTCAGACTGGAAGCTCTTTGGTGAGGGACTGTCTGTCTAGGGCAGCGGTTTGCAACCTTTTTTCATGTGCGGGCCCCTAAAAATTTTCGACTGGAGGTGCGGCCCCCATTGGACATCTTAGACACTGTCTGTAGACCCCCACGGGTCCACGGACCACCAGTTGAAAAGCACCGTCCTGGTGTGTCTCGCACAGCTCAAATGACAGTATCAATCCGTAACAGACACTGATTCATCCAGCTTCACCATGGCCTCCTGCTTCCTTGGGTCAATGAAATCAACGCTGATTCCCACCCCCGCCCAAACCGGGGGTCTTTCCATCACCAGTGCCTTTGATCAGACTGGCTCCGCCACCCCCCTCCTGACTTGCACAGGCTGGTCCTGCTGGGAGCTCATTCACTGCAAAGCCAGGATCTGTGCATGTCTCCGCTCGCCTGACCCGCTCAGCATCCCTTACCACCTCACCTGTGATGAAGTACCAAAGCCCGGCAATCGCTGGTGTCATGCCTGGCTGCCTAGGCGAGGGCCAGCACTCACAGGGCAGCCCCAGCCACGTGCTGCAGGCAGAGAGCAAAGAGGAAATGCCAGGGAAAGAGCCATTCTGCGGCACAGGGCAGGGGAGGACAGGCAGGAAATGGAACAGGCTGAGTGTGTTCCCCCCCCCCCCCCCCAGCCTTGCAAGGAGATGGCTCAGGCCCAAGTTTAAAGGGCCCCAGGGTGAGGGCGCTGGCTGGCTTGGGCGGGGGAGAATTGAGAAAGAAACAACCCAGGTAGAAAATGGAGCTTGAAAAGAAATCTGTGCCCAGGATTATACAATGGGGCGGCCTGGGCTCGCAGGGGGCTGGACTCAGGGCCCAAGGATGATCCTTCCAGCTCGGATTGGATGTTGTTCCCGATAAGCTGAGTTTCCTGGTTATAATACACCTGTTATGCCGGGAGGTACCAGTGAAATCCTGCCCGGCTGCCCCAGTATAAGAACAAGGTTCACATTCAGAGCGGCAGATTGGAAGAACAAGAGAACAGGTGTTAGCAGGGACGTGGACTCATAGCCCCAACAGGGGATCGGGTTTAAATGGAAATGTAGGAAAATGAGCTGGGGGGGGTGTCGCTGCCCTCTTGTGGTTGGAATTGCGACTGCTCAACTGTGTGCTATAGACCCTGCACTGCTACCAGCTAGGGGAGATTCTCCTTTAGCCCACGTGGTGGGGGGCTTGGAGGGCCGATGCTTCCAGAGTAGGAGGCGCTGAGTCCCAATGGAGGTCTGAGTGGCCCTGCAGCCTGGCAAAGGGGTTGGCAGGTCGGGGAAGCGATGGATTTATTGTCCCAGTGACTGTCAGACTCCCCCATGGCGTTGGTGTTGGGTGCTCTGGCTGCTCGGGGCGGATGGAGCTGGAAGGAGAAAGCCGAGGGGTTGCACCCGCCATTAGCAGGAGCCGCGAGGGCTTGTTCTTAAGGCAGCGGTAGAGGGTGTTACGGAGGAGTAAGCAGCTTTATTGAGAGGCTAAAGCCCTGTCTGGATCTGGCTAGTTACCCCTTCTGCGCTGCGGCGCTGCTGGTGGGGTGGAGCAGGGGTGGGGCAGGGGACCGCTGTGGTAGGGGGCCTGCTCCTATTAGTGGTGGGGCTCGCTCAGTGGATTGTATGGTGGGGTCAAGCCATTCGAATGCTCTGGAGTCAGGGTGGCCCTGGCAGGGGAGCTGGGCCTGTCCTGAGACAGACCTTTGACATTCCCCCCAGCTCTTGCTCCTGCTCTGAGATCTGGGGGGACTGGGGTTCATTGGAGATGCTGACTGCACTAGGGCAAGCCAGAGTAGATACAGCTCACCTCAGTTCTGACCTGAAGCTCCCAACCCCTGCTCTGCAAGGCCAGTGCTGGGTTCCCCTCCCCCAGCTCTGAAAATGCCCCTCCTGCGACCCATAGCCCCCCTTCTGTTTGCACCCTGGCCTCCACCACCCAGCTCGAGGCAGCTCCGGTTTGACCTACAGCCTCTGTGCTGCTTAGGCCAAGCAATGGGCACCAGCCATGCTGACCTGCGAGGCGGTTTCCACTTGGCCCTGGTTCTGCTGGGGCCGGGGCCCTGGGAGCACATGGCAGCACGTACTGGCCCGTGCTCAATGATTAATCCGAGCCTGGACTGAGCCGCGGCACCTCTGGGCCTGGCAGCCCCGAGCCCCCCGGCCTTGCCACAGCAGTTATGAAAGTAACAGAACTCGCTCACGCCCTGCCCCGGTTTCAGGACGAATTAAGCACTGTCTACGCTCAATATGTCTCTGCGTGCTCGAAGTCGGAGTGACGCGAATCCTCCACCTGGGAACCCTGTCCCTTGCCCGGGCTCTGTTTGTCCTTGCAGTCAGGGGGCCTCGGGTTCAGAGCAGAGCCCTTCCCCCGCTTATCATGGTTTTGCACAGAGCCCCCTGCGTTAGCTGCTCAAATATTTGCTGAGAGCTCACGGTGTGTGTCCCTTTCCCAGTGTCCAGGCAGCGAGTTTCCCCGCTCTCTTCCCAAGCGCGGCCATTATTCAGTGGCCTGCCTGTAAGCTTCCTTGCTGAATTCCCCCCAGGTAACGAGAGAAACACTGATGGGGGGGTTCAGTTAGGTGCTCAAAAGAAGGCGCCTGGTCATGGGTTAATGCACTGGCAAAGTGGCAGCAGATCCGTGTTCTTATCCTGTCTGACACGTGTGTCTCGGAACGTGGGGTAACAAACAGCCCCTTTGCCTCAGTTTCTCCACCTGAGTCTGGGAGTAGCGTGGCTCCTGGAACGGGGGGTGGGTGGGTGTGTGCTTTGAGATCCTTCTGGTACAGATGGGGAAACAGACACTCAAAGGTTAAGCAATGTCCCCAAGAGCATGCAGTGAGCCTGACTCCCAGGCCTGAGCCCCCCCAGCATTTTGTCAATAGCCTTCACCCTAATTGGTCCCTGGGCCGAGTCCTCTCCCCAGCCAGCCGGCTCCCTCCCTGCTAGTAGCTTTCTTCCCAAGCAGGCAGGGTTGCTCTCTGAGCAGTGATGGGCCAACCCAGCGCCCACCCCCTAGCAGCCCCCCCAGTTTCTCTCTAGCAGGCCTGAGGGCGGAGAGCGCGCGGTCTCGCTACCTGGCGAGGCAAACCATGCCAGCCACACACAGCAAACCGCCACCACACGTCCCTCTCTCCAGCCCCTTTGAGAGCAAAGCCCTGTACAAGGGATTACGTCACCCACCACTGCTGTGCAGCCACCTCTGGGGCAAACCAGAGCAGCTGCTTGGGAGGGGAGGCAACAGAGAAAGCTCCTGCCTGGAGCTGAAACTGTGGGTGGGGGCCGGCTGGAATTGCCTATGCTGGGGCACCAGGGTTAATGCTCTTCCTCTGATTGCCAGCAGAAAATTGAGGTATCTTCTTGGTGCTGGCTCCTAAGACCGCCTGCTACTGACTCAGCGATCAGGGCCCCTGCTGCGGGATTGCCTCCCAGCCGAGCAGTGATACCCCCCACTGATCTGGGAGGAGCGTCCCCCTCCCAGCCTGGTGTGTGTGTGCCGGGGGTGGGGGGGGGAGTATTGACTTGTCTGCTTTTACAGCAACATTGCGCCTTTTCCCAATGGCGCTGCCGGGAGGGGCTCTGTGCCCCGGGGGAGCTGGCTGTGACCCCGAGGCCCAGCCGCTGCAGGGGGGCCTGGCAGGGGCCTTCGAGTGAACAAGGAGCGGGGCTGGCGGTTGGCACCGGTAGGCCCTGGCTGGCTTGTTGTTCCCCACTGTGTGTGTTGGGGGGAGCTCTGCGGCCGCCCCCAGCCTCCTCCCTCTCTCCTGGGCGGAGCAAGCCGGGTGAGGAGATAAAAGGAGAGCTGGGGGCTGGAGGGGGTGCCTCGCCCGCCCGGGAGAGCACAGAGCACGGGACAGCGGCACTGGACACAGGCGAGAAGGCAGAGTATCTCCGGACGGTTTCTTTTGGGGGGGGAGGGACTGGGCAACTCTGAGGATGCTAGGGGTGAAGGGCCTGATCCTGAGAAGTGCAGGGAGTTGTGGGTCCTGTCAGGGTGAGGCCAGGGGTGTGCTCTGTACACATGGCTTGAAACAAATTCCTGGCTTGGGGTGGGGAAGGGGGTTGGGGGCATTGCAGGGCCAAGAGAGAATTAGTAAAAAAGGGATGATACTACAAACCGTCTCTCTGTTCTCAGGCCAGTGTCCGGGGGGGGCTCTCATCAGTCGAGACATGGGGGGGGGGACTATGGGGCTCTGCATTCGACGTGTTGGCTCAGCATGGCAGAGGTGTGATGCAGGGTTAAGCATCGGGCAGGGCTGGGTTTATTCCCCACAAGGGAACTCAAAGGCAGAAAAGAGCTGGGTGAGATTTTTCCCAGTGGAAACGGCAAGAAATTCCCAATGCTGCTCCACCCCCCCAAGCATCATTAAACGCCCCCCTCATCCCCCATTGCATGCAGTGGGTTCTGTTTGCCTGTCTGCTGGAGAGCAGTAACAGTCAGGCCATAACATGCTGTAGATGCGATTGCCTCTGGGGACTGGTGCTCCGGATTCCTGGCTGGCTGGGTGTTTAAAATCTTGGCTGAATCATTCCATGAGCTGCAGCTGTTGACATTCACCAGGAGTAAACAGGGCCGTGTGGGGAGGAAGACTGGGGACAGCTGTAAACACCAGTAACCAGGAGACCTTTCAGGACAGGCCGAGTGAGGGGAAATGGCAATTATTGGGCTAAAAACCTAGGGACAAGCCCTCCCACTCCGGGCTGGTGTCCTGGGGGTGGGAATGGGCGGTTTGCTTTGAATGGCTTTTTATACTTTGCACTCACTGTATTGCGTGGCTGTCCATGGAGTGTCTGTGCTTCACCAGCACTAATTCATTAGCCCTAACGACCCCGCTGCAAGGTGGGTCAGACTAGTTATAGCCTCCGTTTTACAGGTGGGGAAACTGAGGCACAACGGTATTGTTACTGGCACCCTAAAGTTGCAACAGGTAAGTGAAGGGATTTACCCAAGATCCCATAGCAAGTCACTGGCAGGATTTGGAACAGACTCCAGGAATGCTGGTGCCAAGTCCCCGGATCTAGCCACTAGGCCCCATTCCCCTTCCAGAGATGGGAACAGAACCCAAAAATCCTGACTTCCAGTCCCCAAGCTATCCACCAGCCCCAACTCCCCTCCAAGAGATTGGACTAGAACCCAAGAGTTCTGACTTCCAGGCCCCTAATCTATCCACTAGACGCCCCCCCCCCCTTCCAGAGATTGGACTAGAACCCGAGCCTTGGCTCCCCTTGGCCCAGGCAAGCCATTTGAACACTGCCTTTCAGTCAAGCACGTGCACTGAACGGCTGCACGTTTGTATCGCTCCCAGGAAAATCAATGCAGCTTTGTGCTCCCGGGCAAATGTTGCAAAACCCACCACTTGCTCGCTAGCCAGTACAAACAGGGACTTATCACGCCACTATAACAGGCAGCTGTTCTACACAATGGGCGCAGCTGAGCCTTTATGTCAGTGTGGGGGGCTGGGACCGGGTTGGGTGGGTTTTGTTTTGAAGTGGCAGCTGTTCCTCCCCCCTACCCCATAAAGAATATGTACGGGCTGAGGGATGAAGGGGTTTGATAGCGGGTCCAGGGAGGGCCCCTATTTCTAGGTCGCTGGCAGGATCCCTGGAGAAACAGATTGTTTATGATGCACAGTAGCATGTGGAACTCACTGCTGCAGGATTTTATATAGGCAAGAAGCTTGGTATGTCTGTTATAAAGATCAGGCTCCTCTAAAGATGGATCACACCTGCACTTACATTAGCTGGGATACAAGTGACAAGGGCTTTCGGTCCACACGGGCTGGTGCAGCGAGGGGCTTCCTCCCTGTTGAGTTGGTGCTGACTCCAACACCCCAGCACAGCACAAGGTGCTGTATTTCAGCTGAGACTTAATTTAGAGCTCCCCCAGCACTGTCCCCAAGAGAAGGGCTGTTAGCCGGAGTGGCCCAGCCGGCAGGTAATTAGACTCCGCTCTTTCCACTGAATGTGGAATTCTCCCCTCTGTTGGGTGGCTTTGCTGTGGGTCACAGATGCTGCTTTCCACCCCAGAGATGGCTGCATTTCAGTGCTGGGCGAACAATGCCTGTATTTACAGCGTTGTTGGTCAAGTGCTTTGGGATGCTTCTGGGCAAACAGCGCGGTGGAGGTGGAAGGCGGTCTGCTCAGGCTCCTTGGGGATTGTGGGGGAAAGGGTGTGGAGGTGCATGCCCCTGCATGGGTCTGTATCAGGAGCTTGTGTCTGAGCTAACCTGGAGTGTCGTCCCCGCCACCCCAGCTCAGAGGAGCTCCGCTGGGGGAAAAGTGGGTGTCTAGCCAACCCCGTCTCGTGTCTCAGCTACTCCCCTTCTGATCATGCAAGAGCGATGGTCAATGCCAGCATGTCTCTACCACTCCTCTCGCTCCCCAGGCCGAGGAGGGGGTGGCTAGGATGGGGCTCCCGACCCTAGCCCTGGCTACCCTGCTGGGGCTGGTGGCGGCCACGCTGGCAGAAGTGGCCGAGAACAAGACCCGGCTCTGCCAGCCGGCTCCACTGTGGGAGATCAACGGGACGGCCCCGATGGCAGGGGCGCTGGGGCAGGTGACGGTGGTGGCCCTGCTGAAGGCCAGCTGACAGTTCTGCCTGAAGCAAGCCAACAGGTGAGCAAAGGCGGGGGGGTGCACCACAGGGTGGGGAGCAGAAGATGGAGCTAGGCAAGGGGGAGTGGGGAGCTGGGGGGTCTCAGTCCATTTTCCAGTGGGCAATTGCCACTAATTAGCTCTGCTCCCTTTGCTGGCAGCCTCAGCAGAGGGATTATGGAGGCCCATGGACCCCCCCCCCCTTTCATCCCCAGAGGGCAGGGGCAGCAATCCGGGGCAATGTCACGTCTTTCCTCTTTGGTGTTTGCGCCGAGGGGTGGCGGGGTGACCGTGACACAGAGCATTAGCGAGAGGTAGATCCCGTGGCCCTGTGCCTCACCCCCACTCTCCCCACCTCCCCAGTCTCGGGGGCTTGCGTGAGAAGCTGTCCCAGGACGGGCTGGCCAACATCAGCTACATGATCGTGAACGAGAAGGCGCCGCTCTCCAGGGCCATGTTCTGGGAGCTGAAGCGCCTGGCCCCAGAGGGGGTCCCCGTTTACCAGCAGGAGATCTTGGAGCCGGATGTCTGGCAGATCCTGGACGGGGACAAGGACGACTTCTTCATCTACGACCGGTGAGTGCCTAGGACCCAGCAGACCCTCCTCAAGGCTATCTGCCCCTCTGGGGCGCACACCAGCCAGTCTGCCTTCATTTCTAAGGAGCAGGCTCCGAGTGTTTATCCTGTGCCCGGCATGTCTGAGCAGCCTTGATCCGATGGCTCCTGGTCAAGGAAAAGAACTCGAAGCTTTATGGAGCACATCCAGCCAGGCTGCAGGGCTCCAGGGACCTGGCTAACCCCCCAACTGGCCTGGGTGAAACCTGGTCGGGGAGGGTGGGGGAATATAACACAGTGACACACATAGGGAAGGAGCAGTCAGGACTCCTGGGTTCTATTCCTGGCCCTGAGAGGTAAGCGTGGCCTAGTGGTTATTGGACTGGGAGCCAGGACTCCTGGGTTCTATTCCTGACCCTGAGAAGGGAGCATGGTCTAATGGTTATTGGTAGGGTTACCAGCTAGCAACTGTGAAAAAACGGGACGGGAGGGAGTAATAAGCATCTATATAAGAAAAAGTCCCCAAAATGGGACTGTCCCTTTAAAAATGGACGGCTGGTCACCCTAGTTATTGGATTGGAGGCCAGGACTCCTGGGTTCTATTCCTGACCCTGAGAGGGGAGCGTGGCCTAGTGGTTATTGGGTTGGAGGCCAGGGCTCCTGGGTTCTATTTTCAGCTTCACCCCTCATTTGCTGTATGACTTCTAGGTAGGCCACTTAACTGCTCTGCACCTCACTGCAGGGGACATGAGGTTAACTCGTGCCAGTGATGCACGTGGGGATCCGGGGAGAACAGAACTATGGAAAGGCCAAGTGATGGTGGTGGCGTGTTCTCCTACTGCTTGCGCTACCGCTGCTGAGCCTAAATGGCCACGTAGCTGCTGGCCGAGGGGGCTCTATCCTGGCCTGCTGGTACCACCACCCACCGCCCCAGCTGTCTGCTCTGCTTCCGAAGAGCTGGGACCGAGCCAGCCAAGGCCTACCCCATGAATGCCCAAGGGAAGGAGGATATTGTTCATTACTGATTGCAATGCCCACAGCTTTCCAGGCATTTTCCAGACATGCCAGCGGGGGCCATCCTGCCCTCAGGCGCTCACAGTTGGAGGGTAGATGGACAGACAGACAAGCGGAGGCCAGGCAAGGGGCATAGCAAGGGAGTCTCTGTACAAATCCCTGAGAGTCACTTAACTCAGATCCTGATCCACTGATTTGGGGGCTGGCCCCAGGATCTATCACCAACCAGACTAAACCCCCTAGTCCCAGGCAGCCCGCACTATGGGGATCCAACTTCTCTGTTTCTGTGCCCATCCCTCTGCCCCCAAGGCCCTCCATTTCCCTGCCCCTCCTCTGCACCAAGGGCCCCCGCCCTGGCTCGGTCATGCAACCTGCTCCCTGCCTTGTTGTCTTAACCCTCCGATATCGCCTGCTCCAGGGACCCTTGAACTTTGGCCGGTGGAGGGGCCAGCCGGAAAGCCTGGGGACAGGGTGCTAATCACACAGCACAGTCAGCAACCTGCCCTGGGATGTGCTGGGGCAGCGCAGTGGGCCGGAGGGGCTGGGAACTGCCAAGAAAAAAGGAAGGGATTCAGACTGTGAAGGTCACAAGCCCTTCCTGGAGCTGTGGTTTTTCCCACCTGCCTTCAGTGTCTTTCTCTGGGGCTGGCCTGTGCGTCTCCTCCCCTCAGTCCAGAGGCGCTGGCCTTTCCCTGGCTCTGCCACTGACAGTAGCTGAGGGTGGAAGAAGCTCTGCAGCCCCCAGAGCCCCCTCCCTTTACCCACAGCTATTGTAAAGCAAGGCAAAGACGCCCCTCCTCTGCCCCGGATCCTTGGTGGGGTGCTGGCTCTGGAGTGCCGGCCCCTCTGGGTCCACACCCACAACCTTGTACCCCTAGGGTTGGGCATTCCACTAGCCAGGGTGGCGGAGAAGCATTTCCCGAGGCCCATGTGTGCCTGGGAACAGGGAAGGGGTGTTAGCACTGATCCTCCTCCCCCGCCAGTCCTTCTGCCCAGCCTCACTTGGCATAACCCAGCTGTGACCCCATACTACACAGTCAGTGGTATCGAACGCGGGCCTTGGTGCTCTCCCCAGCCTCTATCCCCCGAGCTGCAGGAGAATCGCCAGGATCCGTTTGTAGCATTACGGCTTTTATTCTTGTCTCATGCCCGTGGCCACTCGCGGGTGACAGTCACTAACATGTGAGCGGAGCCGATTCCTTCCAGCAGAGGGCAGCAGCGCACAAACACACGTGTCTCGTGCATTCTAATGGCAACACCAGCCCTCGCTCTTAAGTCAAGGCACCGTGCGAGTGTCTTGGGAACGTGCAAGGGTGGGGCAGGAGACGATGGGGATTTCTCACTGCGGGAGCACTGGCCTTTCAGGGCGGGGAGGGAAGGCAGAGCTGGTGTTAAGGTAAATTGGGGGAGAAGCTCAGCATCTCAGCCTAACCTGAGAGGGAGCCCCAGGAGGTAGTGTGGCCTAGTGCACTGGACCGGGAGTCAGCAGCCCTGGGCTCTATTCCCAGCCCTGCTGGGTGACCTTGGGTGAGTCACTTTCCCCATCTGTAAACCAGGGATGATGACCCTGCTCTCCTTTGTGAAGTGCTTTGAGATCTGCTGATGGAACGCACTAGATGAGAGCAGGGTGGCATTCACTTTCCCTGTGTGGCTTGGGGCCGGAGGGGTAGATGTTGGGGAAGGAAATAGGGGAAGGCCTTTAGGGTTAAGGGTGCCAAGATGGGTTGCTGCACCTTTCTGAGCCAAGAGGTTTGTCCTGCTCTCTGGGGCACCAGCCTCCGTAACTCATCCCCAGGCTTTGCTCTGCAGGTGTGGCCGGCTGGCTTTCCACATCCCGTTACCCTATAGCTTCCTGCACTTCCGCTACGTGGAGTCGGCCGTGCGCTTCACCTACGCCAAGGATGTCTGTGGCAACTGCTCCCTCTACTCCAACAGCACCCAGGAGGTAAGGAGCAGCTCATGGGGCAGGCCCCAGGGTCGCATGGGGGTTGGAGGCCTCATCTGCCCCCATGGCGTTTGAACTGACCCATCCCCCTGACCGAGCCACCTACGGCTTCATGGTGGTCGCGATACTGCACCCCAGGGACTCTCAGGGCAGCAGCAGGGAGAGCTGCCATCCTCCTGTTCCCCTAGCACAACCCCCTGCTAACAGCAGGAGATGAGACTCCCCACCCTCTGTTGGCAATATAGGGGTTATGGTAAGAACATGAGTGGTCGTACTGGGTCAGACCAAAGGTCCATCTAGCCCAGTGTCCTGTCTGCCGACAGTGGCTGGGGCCTGATGCTTCCGAGGGAATGAACAGAACAGGGCAATTTCGAGTGATCCATCCCCTGTCGCCCAGTCCCAGCTTCTGGCAGTCAGAGGTTTAGGGACACCCAGAGCATGGGGGTGGGGCCCTGACCACCTTGGCTAATAGCCATTGATGGACCTGTCCTCCATGAACTTATCACTGATGTTGTGAAGGCCAAGACTAGAACAGGGTTCAGAAAAGAGCTCGATAAGTTTATGGAGGATAGGTCCATCAATGGCTATTAGCCAGGATGGGCAGGGACGCTCACAGGTGCCGACATTTCAAACAGCCGGGAGGTGCTCGACCCCCGACTCCAGTCAGCACCTATGGGGTTGGGGGCCCTAGCCTCTGTTTGCCAGGAGCTGGGAATAAGCAACAGGGGATGGATCACTTGATGATTCCCTGTTCTGTTCATTCCCTCTGGGGCACCTGGCGCTGGCCACTGTCGGTAGGATACTGGGCTAGATGGACCTTTGGTCTGACCTAGTATGGCTGTTCTTATATTCCTGTGTAATTCTTTTTTGAACCCAGTTATACTTCTGGCCTTCACAACATCTCCTGGCAAGGAGTTCCACAGGTTGACTGTGCATTGTGTGAAGAAATACTTCCTTTTGTTTGTTTTAAACCTGCTGCCTGTTAATTTCATCAGGTGACTCATAGCTCTTGTGTTATGAGAAGGAGTAAATAACACTTCCCTATTCACTTTCTCCACACCAGTCATGATTTTATAGACTTCCATCGTATCCCCCTTTAGTCATCTCTGAAACATGCCACTTTTTAATCTCTCCTCATATGGAAGCTGTTCCATCCCCCTCATCATTTTTCTTCCCTTTCTCTAGACCTTTTCCAATTCTTTTTTAAGACAGAGCAACCACATCAGCACACAGTATCCAGGTGTGGGCATACCATGGATTTCTAGAGAGGCAATATGATCATTTCTGTCTTATTATCTATCCCTTTCCTCATGGTTCCTAACACCGTTCACTTTTTTGGCTGCCGCTGCACATCGAGTGGATGTTTTCAGAGAATTATCCGCAATGACTCCAAGATCTTTCTTGGGTGGTAACAGCTAATTTAGACCCCATCAGAGACTCTCCACCCCCTTTTGGCAATATAGGGTTTATGATCCCACTCTGATTCTATCCAGTAGGGGGCAGTGGTGACACAGACCCCCCCTAGCCAAGTCATTCCAAAGCAGTGTACATGCATGTCTGTCTGTCTAACACACCAGCCCTGATGTTACCTTCCCAGGCAAACGGCACAGCAGAGGGACTCAAGAGTCTCAGCCAGCCTCCTGAGCTGGAAGAGAAGGAACAGGAGCTGGCCCCCCACGAGAGCAAAGCCCACCGCCCTCACCACCACAGAGCCAGCAGCAACAGCGATCCCCAGGCCTCCTCCCCCACCCACAGCCACCACCAAGAGCCCCCCCGGGGGCAGCAGCCGGAGGTGCCAGCACCCAAGGAGGAGGAGGAAGGGGATGTGGCATAAAGGGGGTGCCGCGTGCTGTGGAAATGCCACAAGCTCACCGCATGGCAGGATGGCCAGGTTCATTCACCAGTGTGGGACTCTGTCTCCCACGCACAGATACCCCCGCCTGCACAGCGCTCCCCAGTGGTGGTGAATGGCATAGCGCTGCCCAAACAAAACCTCGAGTGTAGCACAAGCCCCTTTGGCACCAGGTACGGCCCTGCTAGGCCCCCCACCCCCGAGGCCCATCCGCGCCTTTCCGCGTCCTTCCCTCTGCATCGCAGCTGCCCGCGGGGAATATCCCCCGCCCCCAACACATGGAGGCACTGCAGTCTCCCACCTTGGGGCCGATTCTGATCCCTTCCTCCACAGATCCCGCTTGTCCGCGCTCAATGAAGCCCGTGGCGCAAACCGGGCTCCCCCGGTCACCACGGGCCGACGCTGCGCAGAAAAGCATGTCAGGGGAGTGGGAGTCAGAACCGTCCTCTGCCAGCGGGCAAGGGGCTGTGGGCGGTAGGGCTCTGGTCCTATAACCCCGAGCCCCAGTCCCGTCCCCGCACCTGGATGCTGCTACCCACACTGCTCCTGAGAAGGCAGCCGCTGGGGGACGGCATGGGGCCGGGGGAAGGTTTGCTGTGACGTGATGAATGGGGCAGGAGGGTGGGATGGGACAGTGGGCCCTACCTGTCAGCCCTCCCTGCCCCTCCCCCTACTCTGCCCCTTCCCAAAGCTCTCCCAGCCCCATACATCTGCTGTCCCTATTTTTCTCCCCACAAGTCCCAGCCCTCCAGCTTTGGCCCTTGCCTCTCACAAACCCATCAGCCAGGGTGGCATCCAGGGGCTGCTACATGGGGGCAATTCGGGGTCCCAGACAGCTCAGCTCCTCGAGCCAGGGGAGCCGACCCCCAGGGGCGAGGGGGTGTGATGGGTCGGCTGGGGACAGGGGAAAGAGCTGTTGCGCAGAACAGCCGTGCAAATAAACCTCTCTGGCGTGAACCGGGCCCAGTCCTGCTTTCCACGGCGCCTGCACTGGGAATTCCCATTTCACAGGCTCCTTCGCCAGCAAGCGGGGCGAGGCCAGGGCTCCCCCAGCCCTGTGGGGTCGTGGGGAGGGCAGCAGTTAAGGACCCCCAACAAGGAACCAGTTGAGCTCAGGATCTTCTCCCCTCTCCATGCTGTGTGTCTGGGGCCCAGCGTCACAGCACCCAAGCCAGGCGCTCCTGGGGGTGGGCAGGGGGTCGGGACAGGAGAGAGGCCAGCTGCAATTGGCCGTCTCCCTCCAGGGCCAAGCACTCTCCACCCTGCTTCTGTAGCAAGCAATGTCAAGACCACATCCTCTTCCCCTCTCTCCCCCAGGGTCGGGGGGATGAGACGGCCTCTGTGCAGCCTGATGCACCAGGAATGCAGCTCCCTGGCTTTGCAAGCTGGGCGGCTGCAAGAGGGGACGTTCTCCTGGGCTTCTGGTCATACCCGGGCCCCTGCGGCAGCACCAGCTGGGGCTGGAGGGCAGCTCCCTGTGGAACGTGTCCTGTGTACGTGCCGAGAGGGGTCTGTACCATATATGCTTGTGGTAGCTCCCCAGACCTGGGAGCAGCCGCTGGACCCCTGGGCACGTCTGCTGCTTTGGGACCAAACAGGACTTGTCGGTCCAAAGCAGCCGCTGCCTGGCAGAGGGCTACTGAGGGAAGGAGGCCAAGGGAGTATGGCTCAGAGACCAAGACAGGGATAACTCACTAGGGAAGCAGGGGGAAGAAACACGAGGGCCAGAGAGCTGGGATGGCTGGAAGACGAGGCAGGCTGGAGGCTGACAGCTGCTTGGCTCACCCAAGGTGGCTCGCCTTTGTTTTGGCCTTAGCCCTCCTGAAATTCACTCCAGAGCACGACCTGCCCTTGCAAGCCGAGAACAGTCCCGCTCCCCCACCCCGCTGCTTGTCTTCTAGCAAGCAAATGCCACAGCAGCAGCTTTATACTGCGCATTCAGGGACCGAGTCTGCGCTGTCTCTCCCAGGAGGCCCAGCACAGAAGGTGCAGCCCAGGAGAGGCGCAGGCTGGGGGCAAAGGGCTATGGCCGCAGTTGTGGCCCTTTGTGAGGGGAGCAGCACCAGGGAGTTGCAGGGGTGGGACTGGAATCTCCCTGAGTCTGTCAGTGAAACCCCGACTCGCCGAGGGAGGGTTCAGCTGCAGGGAGGAAAGGGCTGTCCTGCCTCCCTTGTGTGGCTTTAGGCTTTACGGCGCTCCTGGAAAAATCAAACCACCTCCCTGCCGCAAGCTGCGTGGCCACTAGTTGCCCCTTGGGCGCTGCCTCGCAGACAGAGGTTGCCCTGCCGCACCCTGGCTCGCTGGCCACCGCGTCTCTTCAGAGGCCCTTGGAGAACTCCCAGTTCACACCAGAATTTGAAGAGTCCCCAGAAGGGATCCCCTTTATTTAGTCCTCCCAGCACGCAGCCCCTCCGGCCCCCAACGCTAGTTCAGTGTCTCTCTCCCAGCAGCCAGCACAACGGCGTTGAGAGTGAACAGACTCGTGTAGGCTTCACCCCAGCTGGCCACAGCCCTCTCCTGCCTCAGGGCCCCGCAGTCGGGCTCTCCCAGCACACATTTCTCCAGCTTCCTGCACCTTCCCCTCTGCAGGGGCTTTCTTGCTCTCTGCACCCAAACGGCTGTTTCCTGGGCCTCCCCTGTCAAGGTTCCTTCCCCGCTCTGACCTCTAGGGTACAGATGTGGGGACCTGCATGAAAGACCCCCTAAGCTTATTTTTACCAGCTTAGATTAAAACTTCCCCAAGGTACAAACTATTTTACCTTTTGCCCCTAGACTTTATTGCTGTCACCACCAAGTGTCTAACAAATATATAACCGGGAAAGAGCCCGCTTGGAAACATCTTTCCCCCCAAAATCCCCCCCAAACCCTATACCCCCTTTCCTGGGGAAGGCTTGATAAAAATCCTCACCAATTTACACAGGTGAACACAGACCCTCTTGGATCTTAAGAACAATGAAAAGCAATCAGGTTCTTAAAAGAAGAATTTTAATAGAAGTAAAAGTAAAAGCATCACCTCTGTAAAATCAGGATGGTAAATACCTTACGGGGTAAATACCAGGCGTGATTCAAAACACAGAGAATCCCTCTAGGCAAAACCTTAAGTTACAAAAACAGGAATATCCATTCGATTCAGTACAGCTTATTTTCTCAGCCATTTAAAGAAAACAGAATCTAACGCATATCTAGCTAGATTACTTACTAAGTTCTAAGACTCCATTCCTGTTCTGTTCCCAGCAAAAGCATCACACAGACAGACGCAGACCCTTTGTTTCTCCCTCACCTCCACCTTTGAAAGTATCTTGTCTCCTCATTGGCCATTTTGATCAGGTGCCAGCGAGGTTATTTTAGCTTCTTAACCCTTTACAGGTGAAAGGGTTTTGCCTCTGGCCAGGAGGGATTTTAAAGGTGTTTACCCTTCCCTTGATATTTATGACATCCCCTTTTTCTGCCACTTCCCGCTCTTTTTACCCTGGGAGCACCTAATTCGACCCACATGTAGCTCGTCCTCTAATCAGGACTGGTTTAGCCCCAGGATCTCCCTGCCAATCCCTTCAATCCCGACCCGCTGCCCCTCTGCTGTTCCAGTCCCGGGATCTCCCCACAGCTCTGCCAATGTCTTTCAATCCCAACCTGCCGCTCTCCTGCAACTCCAGTCTGGCTTCCCTTCCTGTTCAGTCCCAGGAATGAGCTCACCAAACCCTTCCAGCCATACTAACGCATCGCTAGTTTGTGATGAGGAGGCAGCTCCATTGTTTGTATTTTTTAAATTGCTTAAGATGCTTTCAGCTGCTTCTTAAATCCGGGGCTGGGGAGGTGGGGAAAGAGGGGGAGTCAGGGTGACGAATGGTTAGAGCAGGGGACTCCAAGCCAGGACTGTGAGCTTCTCTGCCCTATTGTCCGACTGAGTGGCTCGTTGACCTTGGGCAAGTCCCTTCACAGATTGACTAGCAAGTCACCCCATCGTTTCTTGCGGGGCTAATTGCCGAGTCAAATCAACACAAATAAAGGTGGCAGAATCTAGCCCTTCATCTCTGAGGGCCTCAATTCCCCCCTCTGTAAAACTGGGATGATAAGACAAACACACATCTGCACGCCTCCCCTTCGCAAAGCCCTTTGAGAGCCTCAGCTGAAAGCGGTGCAGCCTGGGGGTAGCCCTGCGGGCCCCAGGATATTAGCGAGACAAGGTGGGTGAGGTAAGATCTACTATTGGACCTACTTCTGCTGATGAGCGAGACCAAATGTTACCTCACCCCCCCTTGTGTGTACTGAGTGCCAAGTATTCACGAGGGGTTAATTGGCTGGGAGACGTGAGGTCTGGCCCAGACCCTCCCAGGTTTGGGAGTTAGGCACCGAAAGACCTTTGCGGCTCTGGGCCTTGGTGCATATGCATCTGTAGTGCAATAACTTCTGAACGCCGGGTCCGATCGATTCCAAAACACCAGGAAACATTCTAGGCCTCAGTGGGTACCAGACTCCCGCAGCTTCACCCAGGTCTGTGCTTGGCTATAGATCAAAGACCCAGCTGACGGCTGGCAATACCGCCTTCCAGCACAATACCAACCTCCCTGTGCTGTGCCCAGCCTCCCACCCGAGTTCACCATGTTACACCACGAGAGACATCTCTCCCAGACTGAAAGAAATGAGATTGGGGAGGGCAGAGGGGAATGGGGGTGCATAGACAGCCCGTGGTCCAGGCAGAATGGGAGGGCATACAGAACCCCCGGTGTGGGGAGAGGGGAAAAGGGGAGGAACTTTGTATGGGGGGAAAAGGGGCATAGGGAGGATGGGGGGATTGGGGAGAAAAGGGGACATGCAGCCTGGGGTATGACGAGACACAGAGCCCTTGGCATTAGGGGTAGGGGCTGTGGTGGGGTATACACCCCCCACTGGCACTGACAGTGTTAAGGAGCGTTTGGGAGCTCAATTAGGGCAGGGTCTGCACTGGTAGCAGGAGAGACCCTGGCCCTGACAGAAGGGTGGCCCTAGAGAGGCCATGGAGCCTGAGGTGAATGCAGGTCTCCAGCGGGCCCCAGCTCCCTCTTACAGATGCGCTCCTGGTCTGGATGTGATCCAGTCACGATCCCTTGTCCCTAAGCTGCCGTTCATTGTGAGTTCTGGGATCCGTTCCCCCTTAGCTGTCAAGACGAGGCGTGATACAGAATTCCCCGGTGTCGTCATCTGGAATGGTTAGAAAATCAAGGATTTTTAGGACTGGCGGCCTGAGACCTCCAGCACGTCTCATTCAGACTCAAGTCCCCCATGATCACACGCCTTTTTTTTCTGGCATGATAGAGAAGAGCCAGTCGCCCTGCTCCCTGGTGTGACTGGGGATCTGTAGCAGACACCAACTGGCAGCCCATCGTGAGCTTTATCTGTTAGGATATCGGTTCATAAGCTTTCAAGATCGCTTTCTTGCAAGTCAGGGGAGGCCAGGCGCACCCCACTTTTCAAAGTGGGAAGGCTAGCCCCTCCCACTTTTAATCAGCTGTAAGGGTGAGCGGCAGGGGGTGGAGAGGATTGAGTGGGGGAAAGAGGCAGGGCAAGAGTGGGGCTTCGGGGGAAGGGGCAGCGTGAGGGTGGGGTTTCAGGGGGAAGGGGAGGGGCAGCACAGAGGGGCCACAGTTCAGGCATTGGTGGCCCCCCCGACTTTTAGGGACCTTCCACCACTCCTGTTCCGAGTTAGCAGTGACTCGGAAACAAGTGATGCCCCTGCCCCTTGTGTCAGCTCAATCCTTCCTGCCTAGGTTATAACCAGCGGTGCTGCCAATCATGGGTCAGCAATACTCAATCAGCCCCCCACTGCAGCCGCCACAGGTGTGGGGCTGGAGGCGGGAGCTGAATGGGAAGATCCTGCCCAGCCCAGCTGGGTGCTGACTGGGAATGGGGAGTGGGGCTGCAGCTCTCTCTTGGGAGAAGCCAGGACGCTGAGCCAGACGGCGGCCCGTCAGAGCCTCCTT